GGGACACCGCTCCCGTTGGTGGTGCGCCGGCCGGTATCAACGATTTTGCCGTGCATCCTAGTATGAAGCTGATGCTTACCGTGGGCAAGGGGGAGAAGAGCATGAGGCTATGGAACCTGGTTACCGGCCGGAAAGCTGGCGTGTTGAATTTTGGGCGGGAGGTGTTGACTGCCGCGAAGGAAGGGAAATGGGGGACCGGCGAGGGGCGGAAGATCCGCTGGGATTCGGCCGGAGAAGAATTTGCCGTTGCTTTTGAACGAGGTATCGTTGTCTTCGGGGTGGTATGTTGTGCCCGTCTTTCCTTTTTTTTTTTTTTTTAATTTTTGCTACCTTTATATTCACACACTGACTGGACGTAGGACTCGGTTCCAAAGTGTAGAGTGGCCACCTCACCATTCACAAAGGTACACCACATCAGCTATCTTGACATTGAAACTGATGACGAGAAGAAGCAGCTATTGGTAGCCTCTACCGAAGACGGCAGACTCGTCTTTTATTCTACAGCGTCAGACTCGTTAGAGGAGCTTGTTGAGGGAGGCGACACCACCATTCCGACGGCGCCGTTCCTCTTCCAGCTCGGTGGTAAGGCTCATGGCCAGTCCAGCAGGATAAAAGAATTTGAAATTCTCCCGCTCCAGGAGAACTCAAAGACTATACAGTTCATCGTTGTTACCTCTGGCAGTGATGGTGCATTAAGAATATGGACCATCAAACCAGAAGAAATCCAGCAGACCAAGCAAGTCAAGCGAGGCAAACCGTCTAAGTCTGGTCAGCCTGTGCAGGTAGGTAGATTACTCGTTGCCTACGAAACCGGTAACCGAATAACCTGCATGAAGGCCTTTATCATGCGAGAGCCTATAGGAGAAGAAGAGCTCAGCGAGGGCGACTCTGAAGCAGATGATGATGACGAAGATGAAGACGATGAAGATTCTGATAGCTCATGAAAAGCTCTAGCAGCCAAGCTGTTACTCTACCTGGCCCTCTGCCAACGATCAAAATGATGTGAATTCACTATATTTGATAGATCAAAGTCTCAGGGGCAGCAACCCTGTCCACCCCCTCGTTCATCACTGCTAACCCGCAGCCTGCCATCTCCATAGACTAGTTATACATCCTCAGCCAAAAATTCATCTATCTTCCTCTCCAAATATTCTTCTTCTTTGCTGTCTCCCAAACAATTAAATTATGCATCTCTTTTCCCTCCCACGGACGGAAAATCTACAAGTCACGTGCCAATGTTGACTAAAAAAATATTTCGTGACTCAAAAAAGTTCGCATTTTAAAATAAAACAGTAAAAAAAGTCCACAGAAAAAGACGGAGAGACGAAGAGAGGGAAACCAAAGAACCAAAGAAATAAGCATTCTGTCCATACGATTAATATCACAGTCGAGCTACTTCAACCCGCAGCTCCCAGCCCGCGAACACCAAGGAACGTCGCCTGCTTAGTTACCCCACTGAGCGTAGTTTATCGAAAAAATAACCAAATAAAATCCGTCAAAACTCCAACTTCTCTGTGTGCGAAGAACCACATCCACGACCACCAGCGCACCGTTAGCTCAGAACAGGCGGATTGCAATCATGGCGACGCACAGTGACTTCTCAGACGACGAGTCGCAGCCCGGCTCGCCCGTGCTCGGCGATTCCAACGGTGTCGATAACTTTGACGACCAGGAGCCCCTCGACCACGAAGATGATTCACAGACACCGCTCAAGTCGGCTCTAAAACAGCCTGCGCAGGCAAAGAAGCCAGAGCTTCCCGAGCAGCCAGACCCATCGACTCTCGATCTCTCTACTCTCACGCCGCTGACACCCGAGATTATTGCCAGACAGGCGACTATCAATATTGGTACTATCGGGCATGTCGCTCACGGAAAATCAACCGTCGTCAAGGCTATTTCGGGAGTGCAGACTGTCAGATTCAAGAACGAGCTGGAGAGAAATATTACCATCAAACTGGGCTATGCCAATGCAAAGGTGTACAGATGTGACAACAAGGCCTGTCCCAGACCTACTTGCTACCGAAGCTTCAAGAGCGACAAGGAGGTTGACCCTCCATGCGAGAGAGAAGGATGTACAGGCAGATACAGACTCCTTCGACATGTTTCGTAAGTCGTATTATTTATATACCTATACTTAAGTATATGACTAACTAGCTGTAGGTTCGTCGATTGCCCTGGGCACGACATTCTCATGAGTACTATGCTTTCAGGTGCCGCCGTCATGGATGCCGCTCTGCTTCTCATTGCTGGTAACGAAACTTGCCCACAGCCCCAGACCTCTGAGCATCTGGCTGCTATCGAGATCATGAAGCTCAACCATATCATCATCCTCCAAAATAAAGTTGACCTGATGCGCGAGGACGGCGCCCTGCAGCACTACCAGTCCATATTGAAGTTCATCAGAGGAACAGTGGCCGATGGATCACCCGTTATTCCCATCTCGGCTCAGCTCAAGTACAATATCGATGCCGTCAACGAATACCTAGTCTCCCACATCCCGGTTCCAGTCAGGGACTTCCTTGCTCCCCCTCACATGATCATCATCCGATCCTTTGACGTCAACAAGCCTGGCTCTGAAATCGAAGACCTCAAAGGTGGCGTTGCTGGTGGAAGTATCTTGACCGGTGTGCTCAAGCTCGGGGACGAAATCGAAATTCGACCAGGTATTGTCACCAAGGATGAGCAGGGCAAGATTCAGTGTCGCCCTATCTTCAGTCGTGTCGTAACCCTACTTGCCGAGCAGAACGACCTCAAATTCGCCGTTCCCGGTGGACTTATCGGTGCTGGAACTAGAATCGATCCCACTCTTTGCCGTGCTGATCGTCTACTCGGTTTCGTTCTTGGTCACCGTGGCCGTCTTCCTGCCATCTACAGTGAAATCGAAGTCAATTACTTCCTTCTTCGACGCCTTCTTGGTGTCAAGACTGCCGATGGAAAACAGGCAAAGGTTGCTAAGCTCAGTAAGAATGAAGTTCTCATGGTAAACATCGGTTCGACCGCCACCGGTGCAAAGGTCATGGGTGTCAAGGCAGATGCCGCCAAGCTGAGCTTGACTGGCCCAGCCTGTACAGAAATTGGAGAGAAGATTGCCCTCAGTCGAAGAGTTGACAAGCATTGGCGTCTTATCGGTTGGGCGAATATCGTCGCGTAAGTACTCATTCTTTCACATGTTCCTTTGGAGGATAACATCTAACATTTATCATAGTGGTAACACGTTGGAGCCTATCTCCAACTGAATTTGATACCGCTCATTGAACGGCACTTACACTCTTAAGGGATGTATGGTTGCCAGAAAGGGGCTATAGAGAAGAGTCGGCGGAGCCAGGGAGCTGTACTGGGTAGGGGCGGGCTATCCGTGTATCTGCCAGTCGACTCGAGACTATAAAAAAGCAATCATCATCATACCCTTTCAAATGTCCACCGGACAAACTACAATTTCAGCTCCTGACAGAATGGATTGCCTGCCCCTACTCTCAAACCCGCTTCGTCTCTACGAATAGCCGGTAGGGCATTTTTTTTTTCAAAAGCAAAAAGCAAAAGCATGTTCCAAGTTCAAGTAACTATATCACGCTTGTTCACATGGTTTCCTCCCTTTTCTTCTTGCTCATCATATTTTCCTCCTCTCTTTCACCCTCAACTTCCGCATATTCCCTTATAGTCGAGCAGTTGCATACGCCTCTCATGCGTTCCGATTCTCTTTTAGTCTCCTTTCGTTGACCCTGCCTCTTTTGTCAAAATATTCTACTTCTCTTATTTTGCTTTTTCCCACCTCTTTTCCGAAGCATAGATAAAAATTGTTTCTCTTCTAGGTCGGGACTTAAAAAGGGACAAAATGGAGAATAATGTGGAAATGATAGTTATGAAATAAAACTATTTTCAGGCATAACTAGTTCTAATGTTTATGTGAAGATATTGTAAATTCGTTTAACCTTTCTCTCACTGAAAAGACTTCAGTCAGGAGAAAACTTCCATATCTATCAATGTGTAGATTGTAGAAGTTCCAAAATAAGTATATCGTGGGTAAAAAAAAATTCTATAGCACACTATTATACAAGTTTGTTCTGCTCCCTTAGACAATACAGTAATTGCAGGTCAAATTCACAATTCTGACATGAAAATAGGCCAGCACCTTTTATGGACCTCAATTTAATTAAGTTGAAGTCTCAAACTCCATTCCTCATATTTTCCGAGGAAGGTGTGTAGAACATATCCGTATACGATTCAACCAACCCAGTTTACCAACTCATGTATTTCCTGTTCTTCGAACGTCTCCGCGCCAACACACCACGACCACCTCGGCTTTTCACACGGGCCAGGAATCCATGGCGCCGCTTCTGGACCCTCCGACTAGGGTTGTATGTATCTCGTTTAACGCCCAGGGAGGCGGTGGATGAGAACCCACGGGCTGATATCGGGTTTGGGCGTAGAATGGAGGCTGAAGATGGTATTTGGGAGACAATTGAACTTCTTTGAGGCGCTATCATGGTGGGCCGTGAGACACTGAATGCGGAGAAGGATCTTGTGATTTTTTGTAAGGTCGAGCTGTCCATCAGATGTCAGAGAAAAAAATCTGGGATAGCGGGTAAACTGCTGCAACCTGCGGGTCACTCACCTTGAAATACTGCTCGGAGCTCTTTCAAAAAGACATCTTATAATCACAAAGGGCTTGACCCTCGAAACGTGTGAACTGAACATCTTTGCTGCTTATTTGTAGATTTATTTCCGCTTCTTCGTTGATTGAAACGAAAGATCGAGGCAAGTTCAAGATGCGCACAGACCAACTTTTTTTTTTGGCTTGACCTGAAAAAAAAAAAAAAAAATCATGTCCAAAAACTAATTGAATCTTCAGAACGACAAGCCGCAGAAGACCAGGAAGATCCAATTGCACAATAAACTCACAATTTGGCATCTTGACTGTTTGATAGAAAGAAATTGTTTTAGATTTATTACTCGATATTTGATCTTGCGGTCTTTTGAATTCATTGGTGAAGCCTAGGAAAATGGCATCTCAAGCAGGCCCAACTCCGCTGCCTGCCACCACAATACTTAAGAGCGAGCGCATATCCCAAGCAGAGGCTCATGAATTCCTTACAGCCTATCTCGATCGCGCGGCCTCAGACCCAGGATTCCAGCCAGATTCTACGCTCTCACCACAAGGTCCCATTGCCGCTGGCGTTGGGTCGTCTCCCAACCTAGTGATACACAACCTGAAGCGAGTCCAGGCCGGATTGGCCGAAGAAGTGCTCGGAAAAGATCTTATATACGCGAAACTGGAGAATGAAGGCGGTGCTGCCGGTGGTATATTTGAGCTACATTCCCATAATGCAACTGATGGACAGAATTGGGCCGGCAAAAAGCGAGAAACTCCCGCTGTCAGCGGATGGCAAGATTTACAGAGCTACGAGAGAGAACAGACCGATATTGTTGAGGCTGGAGACGGAGATGACGAGGTGGTTGCTGTAGAGGACAATACTGAAGCTGTGGAAGATGTTCAGGAGGGTAAAATCGATAAGGAAGAGCGCAAACGACAGAAGAAACAGAGACGCAAGCAAGAGCAAAAGGCGAAGATGGCTGCGGCCAGGAAAGAAAACGAGGATGATGAGACCGAGATCTGAATTGAACTTTTATGACCGTCCCTCTTGCCGATGGTCTATTGAAAGTTATTGATTATTTTACAAGTCATTGCCCAACTCGGTAAGTTTTCAATGCCAGAGGATACCAGAACCCAATAAAATAAAACAACAGGGGAGAAATGAGAAATGAAGACAGTCCTCAAAATCGTGGAATGGATTCTAACTTCGATTATAGCTCTCTGTCAGCTGCCTTGACTGGCTTATCGCTGTCAATTGGCTCTTTTTCTCCTCCGGTAATCTTGCCTCCCTTCCAACCCAGGGCAGCAAGGCGCTCGGAAAGAATTGGGTGCGAGTAATGGTAGCTTGCGTACATCCAGTCCGCATCCATGGTAGAAAGGTTTTGGATCTGAAGCTTCAGCAAAGACCTGGCTAGTTCTTTGGAATAACCCAATTTCACGGCGAACGCGTCTATCAAAACAGTCAGCATCAGAAACTTAAGGAACTGAGGAAAAAAGAGTCATAAAGAGAGACCAACCGGCTTCGAACTCGAATTTTCTGCTGAGGATGTTCATCAACAATTTGATGATGGCATCGGTTGGTGCGAGTGCATCTGAGAATAAGATGAATCCAATCATGATTGGCATCTCGTTGTAGAAGCCAAAATCTTGATAGAGCGATTTGTTGTTAACAAAGGCAGAAAACAAGGCAAAGATATAGAACATGTGGAACTAATAGAACGTCAGTAAGCGATGTAATAATGAGATGGGACGGAGGGGGAAAAAAAATAACACACCTGTCCAATTCCAAACAGCTTCGTAGTATGGCTCAAGCTCCAGTGGCCCAGTTCATGGCTCAGAACGGCAACAACCTCTTCAGTCTCACTCTTCTCAATCAAGGTATCGTAGATAACAATATGCTTCTTCCATGGCAGTCCGAAGAGATAGGCGTTACTATGGGCGCTTCTCTTACTTCCATCAATAACGTTCAACTCAGAGAGCGGGAACTTGAGCTGCTTAGCCAGGTTCTCGACGGAGGTCTTCAAGACGCCGGGTTCAAGTGGGGAGAACTTGTTGAACAGGGGAAGAATGGCAATTGGGTAGATAGTGATGGCAAACAACTGGACAAAGATTCCAAACATCCAGAGATAGTAGAAGAAGCTGTTGCCAGTAGTCTGTACAATTTTTAGGATAGCGCTGATGATGGGAGTTCCGAGAACGACGGTCAGCATCTGGCCTTTGAGCATGTCCATAACCCAGAGCTTGACGGTTTGCTTGTTGAAGCCAAACTTCTCTTCCAGGACAAAGGTGCTATAGTACGAGGTTGGGAGGGACAATATCGTTGTAATGATGTTGAAAACAAAGACAAACAGCAGGGTATGAGTGATCTCCCCTCTGAAGCCTTCGGGGGCATATTTCGCGAGCAGAAGACCAGTTGCTCCCCATATTTTTGGGAGAACATCACCGTAGATGAATGCCAAGTTCTGGATCTGACTGTATAGCCCGCTCACAAAGCCGAACTTTGCCTTTGCGCGTCCATAGGCCTATGATATGGTCGTTAGCCGGAATAGCTTCAGATAGAAAGGCAGCAGATATAATGTGCTATCCGCGGCGCATGATTTACCTGACTCTTATCAAACACTTCCTGGGAGACCTCGCCCTCCAGGACTTTGGGAACCTTTGTTGCCTGCAAGACCTTGTACTGTCGGAGAGAGAGGAAGCCTTCAAGGAGATACTGGCCTAGCGAGAAGCCCACAATGATCTTCTTCCATGGGAAAAAGGGCCGGTCAAGAATGCGCGCGAGCTCCTAGATACGCCGATAGATCAGCCGTCCGCCCACAACCAACAACCCCTTGCATCCCAGGATCCCCGGGAGGGCAGAGACTGAGACTGGTGTCAGCTACCAGCCCGTCAACAACTTACCTGGAGGATAAACATCATTGCAGCGTACGTCGACGTTGTTTGCAGGAGATGCGAGTTGTCTGTCGTTTCGTCGTCGTCGTCGTCGTCGTCGTCGTCGTCGTCTGCCTGGAAGCTGCTGAGGTGAAAGGCGGCCAGCGCCAAGACGTGCAAACTGTCCTCAAAGAACTAAACTAGTAGAAGCACACGAGCAACCTCGAACATCCAACGACATCACCATTGAGTGTAGGCCTGTCCTATCGAGTACAGAGCACTAGCAGCTAGTTACAAGTTACAGCGCCCTGCTATACTCAATTGCCCTCCAGCATTACTTCCATCACAGTCATCAGGCTCCCCACGGGCTGCTGCATGCGGACAATCTTCAAGCGCGCGTCCGTCTGTTGAAGCAGGCTGGCCCAGTCCTCGGCAGCTCGCTCCCCGCTGTTGAATGTCATCATCATGGTCAGGTCTCGGACACGCAGGAGGCTCTCCTGGGTGCTCTCAACCGCACCCGGTAGAGGGAGCACTGAGTCCATGATAACCAGCCATGCGCCCGTTTGCATTGCTGGCAGTATGTTCGAGATGATACTTCGCGCCTCACGATCCGACCAGTAATGCAAAATCATGCGCAGGAGATAAACGCCCACTCCTTTTGCGGGCTGTGGATTAAAAAAATCATGCACCTGAAATGAGATCCTAGATTGAATCTCGATGTCCTCTTGCAGAATACCCCTCCTTCCATCTTCAATGTTGATATTCAAGTCCTGGACGACAAATCGCAAGTTTGGGAACTCTCTTGCCAGGGCAATGCTAGCTTGGCCGGTTGATCCTGTCGTGGCTGTTAGTGCTGCAATTGCTACTCTCCAATGGGATTGCGCTATGAGAAAAGGGCCACTACTGTTGCATTAACTAGTTGGTTGGCACCCCTGTCCTAGTTAGCTCCCTATAATCAACTTCCATGTTGATAGCTAACTCTCGGGGGATACGGGCCCGGTGAACGTTACGCCCGAACAGTGAATGCTCGGGTTCAGAGTAACGGGCCCGTACCGACCGAGCACAAAATATACCCCAAGAGCAGTAAAAAGCCGATGTATAAGAAGAGTAGTTTTTCTCGTCAATGAGTCAATTGTCTTTAATACTTATGCGAACAAGCAAACCCAACTATTCCTTCAGTGTACTGCCCCTTTTAAGTCACCAAATATGAGCCAAAGATTATCCCAGCCCGATAATAGCAACCTAGGGAATGGGGGTTGTGAAGTAAATCACCGTCCCCAAGAGAATTATCCAAAGCCAGCTGCTCTCGGTGCCATCATGCTTGCGATTTGCTCTAGCATGTTCCTTGTGTCATTGGTAAGTTGAATACATAGTTACATATCTTAACTAACGAGCTGCAGTAATCCGGTTACTAGTGAGCTAATCAAGTCTGATATTTCTGGAATATAGGACCGTACTATTATCGCTACATCAATTCCCACCATCACGAACTATTTCCATTCTTTCAATGACATAGCTTGGTATGGTACGTAAGAGGTAGCCCCCGTTTTCCTAGATCACAGACTAACATGGAAACAGGGAGTGCATATCTACTTACTGGCTGTGTACTTCAACTCCCTTTGGCGTTGCTATACAAGTTCTTCACTCCAAAATGGGTCTTTATTTTCATGTTAATTGTCTTTGAAATCGGTTCTGCAGTTTGTGGGGGTGCACAGAATTCCGTCAGCATCATTGTCGGCCGCGCAATCCAAGGGCTAGGCGGTGCAGGTATCTTCTCCGGTTCCATGGTCCTTATCGTCGAAGCAGTACCCTTGGCTAAACGACCCATGTACATGGGATTTGGTGGCGCAACATTTGGTCTTTCAGCTGTTCTTGGGCCTCTCGTGGGAGGAGCTCTGACATCAAATGCATCATGGAGGTGGTGTTTCCTTATCAACCTGCCTATCGGCGGTATGGTACTTCTGGTGCTGCTCTGGTTCTTCCCAAATACGCACACTATGGACGAACAATGCGGTCCCCAGAAAGAAAATAGCGTGCAAAAATCGATACAGGAGAAATTCCTCGATCTGGACCCTATGGGTATCATTTTCCTTGTTCCAGGGATGGTATTTCTCATGCTTGCACTTCAATTGGGTGGATCTGTCTATGTTTGGAGTAATGGCCGGATCATTGTCCTCTTTGTTGTGGCCGGAATTTTATTCGTATCCTTTATCTTGAACGAAATATACCAGCGAGAGCGAGCCATGCTGAAAATGACCGTATTCACCCAACGCACCGTGTTCGGGAGCTTCTTTTATTCTTTTTGCGTTGGCGGCTCAATGATGACGATTGTTTACTATCTACCGATATGGTTTCAAGCAATCAAGGGTGCCAGTGCTGTCAAATCGGGAGAGATGAATATACCCCTTTTGCTATCACTTATGATTGGAACCCTGCTTGCTGGCATGCTTGTATCCAAGATTGTTGGATACGCTGCACCTTTTATGATCGTTGGTGCTATAATCATGACGATTGGCGCGGGGTTATTTAGCACTTTTGGCATATCTACAAGCCATGCTAAATGGATTGGATATCAGGTTGTTTATGGATTCGGCTTGGGGCTCGGGATGCAACAAGGAGCAGCAGCTATTCAAGCTGTGATACCAAAGCACGACACCCCACAGGCTATTTCGTTCTTGTTCTTTGGCCAACAGCTTGGTGGTGCGATAATGCTATGTATAGGCGAAAACCTACTCAATTCCTCTTTAGTGAGAAATATTCGGACATCGCTGCCAAATATTGACCCAGGCCACATCTCCAATTCAGGGGCCACTGATTTCCGCAATACTGTATCTGGGCCAGATATGATAAAGCTGCTCCAGGCGTATAACGGTGCGCTCAGGCATGTTTTTTTCCTTCCAATTGCCGTGTCAGGTCTAGCTCTTGTAGGCGCATTTCCGGTTGAATGGAAGAATTTAATCAAGGTCGAGAAAGAGCAGAGTGCGGAAAAGGATAGGCTTTCTCGTGTTACGAAAGAGTAACTTGACTAGGTAACTAACTAGTGAGTTAAATATGATGGAGAATTTTCACCCCGTACTCCATATAGTCAACAACAATTAGTTACTGGGCAAAGTTAGTTAACTCCTTAGTTAATTCAAGCATCCACTAAACCTTGATTAACTAACGGGAGTAACCTTAACTAGAACGTTGAGTTCATTAACTAATTACTACTATAATGTCTATGAAGATTGGCGGCAGTGTTTTATTGATATTACAAGTTGCAACTTCAATTGTTAACTCGTCTCTGTGACGAAAGGGAGTTACAGGCACCAGGTAAGTATTAATAAAGTGTCAAAATGACAGCAGCAAAAGGTCGGAATGATTTGTTAAAACTTGTAGCGAACGAATAACCGTGTATATTTGATGATGTTGGTGAGCTTGATGCAGAGATTTAGGCTCCAGATACAAATGGAAGTTAACTAGTTAAGCTACATATTTATATTTAACTGTTCAGTGGCCTATTTGGTAGATACAAATGCTTTCTGTGAAGGTAGTTAACTATAGCTAAAGCCTAATTATAGATTCTCGTTTTCAACTTGATTAAAGGGCAAAATAATGGACTCCCATGAAACGACCTCCATGTCCTGGGGTTCCCAGAAAGACGTTTGTTGCAGCTGTTGGTCACCCAGCATTAACCCCGGGCTAATATGAGTGGCAGCATGGTTATGTTCCAAGCTAGGAGTGCGTGCATTGAAAGGGAGTAAATTTGATGACTGGTTGCAATGAGAGTATAACCGTTCGATGAAACCTGGCAATTTTGGAGCCATCATGCTGTTGGAGGTCTGAAGCCGTGTTTCCCACGCTGCCAGCGTCAGTTTACTTACAACCCCTGACACCCCTGAGCTGCGGAGGCTGAACTCGGGGTGATGGTTGTATACATCCTTTATATGATTCCAAGCAGTTTCTTTACCATCATTCCACGTCTCTTGAGCGGTGATTGCTTTGAGCATTCCAATTACTGCTTCCCAAGGGAAATAATTGACAACATACCACCGGAATTTTTCGGAAGACTTCGTGGCGTGAACAAGCTCGTCATATTGTAGCATTTTAATCCCGTATAAGATTTTTGTTTCTGTATTATTGAGCGAGTGAAGACGATTCTTATCGGAGGCGTAAAATACCTCAGATATGCGCTGGAGCTTACATATCGTGGAGCGAGCCGTGACCGTCAACAGGACGTGCAAGAGTATTACTGGATCACAAAAGCGCAGGAACCGCTCCTCGAAACACCTTTTCAGGTTCTTAATACGAGAGGACGAAAAGCTGGATCCTGCTATCGTATCCTCAAGATTGCCAGACAACTTGCCATTGCCAGGAGCCTGCAAAAACCGAGATGTCTCATATCGAAGGAGGGGGAAGCTCATTTCCGTTACTTTGAGATGCTCCGAAGGGAATGTGGCCATATCAGAGCTTATATCTTCGTCATTTATGTTCAACGGCAAAGTCGTGGTCCATGATTGTGGGACGGTGGCTTTTCCAGATCCTGCCATTTCTGTAGCGCGTATATCAAGGCTTACGATATACCACCAAAGACGACGCCGCATCTCGGTTTCGTAGGGGGAAAGTGAAAATTTGGTCCCATCTTGGTGAATACCAATGGTCTGAGCAATTCGAATAGCAATACCAACCAGTGTCCAAAAACATGAAGGCTCGCAATCTCGCTGCAAGGCTGTCTAGATGGTGATGCAACTTAGCTCTCGCGCTCTCGGCTTGTATCAATGCATAGCATGGTAATGTATGTACATACAAGAAACAGCACATAGGTTTGGAGGGTAATAAGATCAAGGGACTGCATAAAGGAAGACTCAACCAGCGAGGCTGCAGTAGCTGCAAGGAGCGATTCTAAGGATATGCTTGAGCCCAGCATATCCTGGCATTCATTGTCCCCGATCGACATGACTGCACATGCACAGATCGCAAAAATCAAACCCTGCAGCTTTTGTGAAATGAAGTCGCTCTCCTCAGATCGCAGTGATTGAGTCAAAAGAGCATTTGCTGAGGGTATATGGAGGATCTTAGTTAACGGATCAACATTGTCACAAAAGGTTGACCACAGCTTGAAGATCTCTGATCTGGAGGGGAATTCAGCTGGAGGACTGGATGCCATCGACCCCAGAAGCAGGTATGAGGAGTATAGTCCAGTTGATGGTGCACGTATTGGCATTCCATGTAGATTCTGCTTTAACTGCACATATAACCGATCAATTAATACCAGTCTATACAAGACTGTCTCCCATAAAGTGCAGACTAACCTCATCACCCAAACTTGCCAGAAGTTGATGCTCGTAATATTTTTTGTTCGCATCGTGTGTAATTAATTTACCTTCTTGGAGAGCTAGTGAAGCTTCTTCTCCTTCTCCCTTTTGCCTTGCTGCTTCTCCCTGTGCTTGCGCCGTTGAATCAGTAGTGGATTTATCCATTCGCTCAGTATCAAAAGGCTCAAAAGGAATTCCTGCATCACGCAGAACATTCTCGTAGTGCCGTAGTCGCTCCATAACCGAGCTCTGTTCCAGTATTGCCTTGCGTTTGCGAGTTTGCGGAGGAGCCCGATAAATGCACTCAAGGCGTGTCTTCTTGCAAGCGCCACATGGTGCTTGACGGTCACATTTTACCTTCCGCGTAGCACAGGAAACGCATGCATTCCCTAACATTGCACGCTGCCCTGGGTGAGTGGGTGAAGGGGACATATTAGCATATTAGAGATAGAGGATAAATCATCCAGGCTTCCTTAATCGTGCTGAGTTAGAATTTGCTGGTGTTGAATTATCGAGTTACAGAGTACTTACTAGTTAGTGTGTCAGTTTATATGGAGTATGGTGTGTTTTATATTGGTTATGGGTTCCACGGGCAGTTACTCAATAAATGATTGGTTAGTTAACTAGTTTATCTGTTTGCTAATAACTAATCTATTGAATTAATTAACTAGTTAGTCAAATTAAAAGCTATAACCAGGTTTTGGCCTTAATCTTGTGGAAGTTAGAAGTAGATTAATGGTTAACTAACCACTCCATCCAATATTTGTATGTATTTTCACTGATTTTTTTAAACTGCTATAGTGAGTCGTTATGTCACTCCATAGCTAATCAACCAGTTAGTTAGCTACTGTTATTGCTATAGTTACTTTTATCTTTCATCAAGGAAGCCGCTAGGTTTTGGGTAATGTACGCAATTCTAATCATAACCTCAGGGTATACAAGTGCATGATGTGGTAGAGAATCACCGACAGCAATGAAATCAGATAAATGTTGGGTCAGAGGCGGTAAAAATACGCATAGCCTCTAGAGAAATAACCGGATAGCCCATGATGACATCATGCAGTCCAGTCTTCAAAATTTGTTCTCTAATCACTCCATTATCCGTGTGCCATTCCATCACTGTTCCTGCAGCAGTATTATCAATCTTTTCGGTCGCTTTTCTCAAATCTAATTCTTTGTATGTAATGCCTCCAGGTACCGTCGCATTGACAGCACTCCAAAAAAGAGACTGGGTATGATGAAATGGGATATCGTAGTCATCTTCAGCATGGATTAATGTCATCCTGTATTTCTCATTATTCAACTCGTTCGCACCGATGTAGTCACCAAGACGGTTGCTACTCAGCCATTTGTCGTGTATGAGAGCACTAAGCCGCTTAAAAAGTATGGAAAATCTGGCGACTGGTGACAGCAGGGGGATAGTACCAGCAAGGCTGTAAGTTGCTGCGAGGCTTGCTGAGTTGACGAATGGGGCTACTAGGATCGTTCCGGCAAATGATACCGGTGGTGATTGCATGGCAAAATGTTGTAAAACAGCCAAACTAACTGCAGTACCAATCGACTGGCCAAAAATCATCAGGCGAGAAGACGGAATTCTGGCAACATTCATAGCCCAGTCAACAACAGCTATAGCGTCCATAATAAGGCCATTTTCAGAGGGAGCTACATCGCTGCTTCGACCAAATCCACGGTAATCAATAGTTAAGACATGAATCTTTCCAGGAGAACCGGCAGACAGGGCACGGTAATTGGCCGGTCGATATCCAGAGGCGACGGTTCCGGCAGCTCCATGAAAATGTAATACCAAGCGAGCTTCGGGGTCATCGCGTAGTAGTCTGAAAGCAACACGGGACTTAAAATCCGAGACAAATCCGGATGGCTCACTCAAGAGGGACCGCTCATGCTTCCGGTATAGTTCTAAGGGGAGGACATGCCAGGCATAAAGCGAGTGACCGTCTGGAGTTTTTATGAAGAAAGGGGTAGCCTGGTTATGAAGGAATCCCCAAATTTCCGGAGTATCAAGATCTTTAAACCAGGTCATCTGAATCTTGTGGAGGTAGATAACATGTGTCTGAAAAAAGGGGGTTGCAATAAGCACCAGGAAGATGGCATACAATGCAACGCATGATGCAGCAGAGATAGAGCCATATTTCAAGATGCTTCTGATCACATCTCCAGCAGTCATTGCGAATAATCTGATGCGCCGCGCTTGTATCAAATGCGATATATGGGGAGTGATGCTTTCTTGATGCAATAAAATCTGAGAGTTGTGATTTTGGACGAAGGAGATGTCGGGTCATACCTTTGTTTTCGACCATCGCTGGTGGGTTGCTCCCGCGGGCCGACCCTTGCATGCCAAGACCTTGTGTCACACCAGCCGGCGCTTAATTGCAGCTCTCTTCACAGCGCTCTGCGTTTATTATTGGCCTGCTAATGATAGCATACCAATCAACTACTTGAGAGTGGACGAATCGTACACATGCATAAGCAATGATGTGGAAGGAGAAGATACAGCAAATCCTGCTTGCCAGTTGGCTTAACTACTATGCTCTGCTTATGCGTTATGCATGCAGGAAAAATATTCATGCTGCTTACCAGCAGTTGGTTATTCCATCTGCCCTTGGTCTATATATACCCCGGATACAGACCTTCCTGGGCTCGAGTTATCTTGTCCGTTATTGCTTCTATCTCGTCATGACTAAAATAACATACCCCTCATCCCAATAACACTTGCTTTCTAACAACACATACCAAGCTCCCCTCAGAAGAAAACAGGTTGATAACGACTCAAGCCAACCCAAATACTCGCTGAAACATCTTCTTATTTGTGGACCCTTCATATTAGTCAAATTCAAGGCCTCCATGGACCCTACAATTACCGCGCTACCCAGATTACATGCCTCAGCCCCAAACTCTACTCCACAAGAGAACGGAACGAACTTGGTAGGGTGGGTCGACGAGTCACCGAACCGCGGTACACAAAAACTAATAAGCTCTTGCTGCTTTACCATCTTCATCTGTACTTGGGTTGTCATACACCCACGGGTATGCAATCGAAAGTCCGTTGCCTTTTTGCACAAGTTAGCTTTATTTCTCAAATCCATCATGGCACCTGAATTAATTGCCGTCGAAGGATTGCAGGAATGGAGCCAATCAAGGAAGATGGTCCGGAATTGCGAAAAGTATACAGAAAAGGAATTCAAACTGGTTCATGCATTCTATATTAGTATGCTTGGTCTCAGATATCGCACCGAGCGCGGCGACAAAGTGATATGGCCAAACCAATTTGAGTGGTTGCTGGAAAATGGCCACTTGGAATGGAGATTCCACAAAAGCTGGGGCCTAGATGAGAGTGATATCAAGGACAAAAGCAGTGCAGATGGAACTGTAAAAATGGCAGCACTCATCCAGGCAGCTTGGTTCGTTGTACAGGCAATTGTACGAGCAGCCCATAACCTTCCTCTAGCCCAACTGGAATCGATGAGCCTCAGCTACATCCCGCTATTTATTGTCACATATTTTTTTTGGTGGAATAAACCGAGGGATATCCACTCACCCTCCGTTATCAACTTGCCTCAAATGACAGCCGAGGAGCTCAGTACATTTGAGAAAATGTCCATCAGCAACTTGTTTGATAATGAGGGTACAGTTGAGCAAACATCGTACTGGAACGTATGGGCGCTAACCCCACGAGTGTTTGAGAAGGAAGCAGAAGACAAAGCGCTGGAGGTAGAAAAGGCTGCATATGAAGCTTTCATCCAAGCCCAATACGGCAAAGAACCTACTGGAAAAGGAAACCTTCGAAGAGACGACAACGACCCGGAACTTGGCAATTATGGCTTCGGTGATACACGAGCAAGCAGGTCTTGCGCCTCCCTTCCACTAGCATTTCACCCCAAGCCGAGAGATATTGTGGTAGCACATTGGGACCCCGACCTATACGGCTCCAAAATCTGGCCATTGGCATGTCTATTTGGAGCCTCGTTTGGCGCATTACATCTAATATCGTGGCATGGAACTTTCCCTTCAATAGCAGAACTGTGGCTATGGCGTGCATCCGGGCTGGCATCAATCGGTTCACTTTTGGTATTCATGCATTTTCCAAAGGTTGTCTTTCGATGGGGTGGGCCCCTAACCATTATAAGCCTCGTATCCCCGGCAGTGTACTTTCTCAGCCGGATTGCGATGATAGGTGGAGTATTTGCAGCGCTAAGGGCATCCGATCCGAGGATCTATGACACATATGCAATATTAAATTACTGGATACATCTTCTTTAGACACTCCGGAATAGGCACATGTACACCATCTAAACTTTTGTCCATTTTATTATGTCAATGTGGTATATGACCGGATATCAGCTGCAAGCTTCCATATAGGTCTTACCACTGGTATTAGCCTCGATTTCACTAGATGGTACAACGTTGGTGTAAGGTCCGTTTCCAGACGTTGTGAGGACGGTTTTACTATAGTTTCATCAAAATCTCGACCCAGGAGACTAGCAGGTTCAATTTGGTCGGCCTGACATGTTTCAATCGGCCGCATGAGCCCCGTAAGAGCGGAAATCACTAGGTAAAGTTCAATTTATTTGCGTAAAACGAAGGAAAGGGCCAAATTGGACCTTCAATTTTCAAATTGATATTTGGTCTCTGAAATCGTTAAGAATAGCAGCACAGCGGGTACTAATAATTATAGCATATCCCCGGCCCGATCATCCATATACCACCATTTTCAGAAGCAAGAGACGCATTTTAGGTATGTTTGCCTATTCAATGGAAAGTATCACGACGTTGCTGTGGCCAAAAGTTTTCAACGCCTTGGTTATTAAGGTTAGGTTAGGTTAGGTCCATTAGGTACCTATTAAGTCCGACCCGATGCGCCGAGGTCCCACTTAACAGAGTTTACCTTAGTTAACTAACTACCAGTGCGGCTCATCAAACCCGTCAAAACTCTCCAACGTTTGTTGTACAAACACCTTGGGGTTTTAATCATTATATTTCCCATCCACAAATTTGTATATTTGTCGGACGAAGAGACCATACCCTGATATTATATTTCAAGCTCAGCTCTATTTAATGAGCAACAAGACACCACTGGAGTTTGTCATGATTCTTCTCCCATTTTTCTGGCTCGTGGTTGACCTGGTACTCATACAATACTCGATAACTACATCGGCCTGATGTTTTGATCCAAATCAAGTCCATGAGCTTGATAATTATGGCCTTGAGTCCAATGGTTAGTTGGAGCTAGTACCATCGTCTTTATGAGAACCAATGCGCCCATTCTCCAGCAAAAACCAAGTAGGAGGGTGTGAGAAGCCTTGCACTTCCCAAATGATGCTGCTTCATGCCGTTGCTTATCCCATCATGATGTCAATATTATTCGCTCTCTTGACCTCCCTCTATACTAGATTATGTTTGGAAGCGTTTCATGCTCTTCGCTACCTTCCCATCTGTGTTTAACGAGGTCTATGGATGAGATGAAGGCATTTTCGGCCAAACATCGCTTGGGCCTCGAAATTGGTATAATCCCCGGTGTGAGTCTTTTTCTATCTTTAGAGACAAATTTCTAGGAGAGCAACGGAGTCCATGGCTCTTTATCGGACCAAACCAGAACAAGCCTTATACTATTAAAGTAGTTTGGTCTCATTACTTTACTCGGTTGCTCTCTTTTTGGCGCTTTTCTTGTGACGGATGCTGCGTCAATGTACAGCAATCTAGGATTACGCTGGGGAAATATCCTTCTTCGTTTGATTACACTTTCATTTACGCTTGTTCCATGGCTATTCCCTCTCTATGGCGAAGCCTGGAGAACTCCTTTCCAGCTCAAGATGTGATCCGAGGTCCCTTATAAGATGCACTTATCCATATAGAGAGGGTTGTTTTTCTTCTTTTGTCTTTTGGTTTCGTCTTAAATTGACTACAGTTGTGCTAACTAGTTAATTAATCATGGTCCAAAGGCGAGTTACTGTGATTATCTGATAATAAACAATGAATTGGAGAAGAGCGGGAGATGCGACCTCTGCTCAAACAGCAAACTATGATAAAGCGAAGGACTGCCCTCGAATAACCAGAATCCGGCCTAGGGAGCCTGCTTTAGAACCAAGGAGACCGAGGAAAACTGCCGCTGAGATTTCATCTGAAGCATTTCATCTTTTCCATCCCCTGGATAATTTATCTGATAAAGAGACTCAGGCCCAGTGGCATGTCAAAGGCATTCATTCATGCTCAATGGATAATCAGTTCTCTCGCCTTCAGTAAGACACTATAAGCAACGGATTCATTATCCAAATTTTTGCCATCCCAGATGACCCCGACACTCGTTGAATCTGTTGGTCCGATAAATTCAGTCCTATGATGTTCAGAGTTTCGCCTCCTTGAATGCTTATCCGCAGGCTTACTAGCCCCTCTAGGAACATAGCGGGGGTAGACACCACCCATATCACCAGCGGAACCGACCCAATCTGTGTTAAACCCATCCGGAACCCAGTCCGCCTTCTCGAGGCGCAGTGTTGCCTTATAGGCCGGGACTTCAGTCTCGTAAAGTATTCTGCTATTTTCCGAGGGCGAGGAAAGGGATAGAGCAAACACGTTTTCTGCTTTCAGCTTCAGCAACTCGCGACAGAAGTCGTTTATAAAGCTTTCATAGGCAGTGGAAGTTATATCAGGGCCGACTTCAGTCGTATACTCGTAAGCACTCATTGTTCCTGTATCTTGACGGTAAAAAAAGAATTTCCCCCGAGGCTTTCTCGCCGCCTCAAGGCTATGGATGCATCTGGGACGACATATCTCAAAGAACGGAAGATCATCAGATGGTGGGTAAGGGCTCTGCTCATAGACCATGGCATGGTTGGTGGGCAGGTCATAGTGCCTGTGCAAAAGGTGAAGGGAAAACACATCCTCCAAGCCATGGTCAGATATCATTTGCAAAAGGGTGCTTCTTGCTGCAGCCCACTTTCGCTCTTCCTCATCTACCTTGGCTAAGTTGACGTGAGGAAGAGTGTTATAGACATCCGCGGGGAGGTAAGTCTCATCAGCTTTATAGATCCATGTGGAAGACATCATCACTGTCGTACTATCGACTGGTAGGTGTGTAAGGTATGATAGTGGAGGAGGCAGATTCCCTTGGATATTGAAAGCTGAAGCCTTCCATTCACGGAACTCTTATAGCAATAGCAAATCCCTCTACGGAGTAGAAGGAGGGGCTTCTCGTATTAGAATTCTATTTTCGGCTGCGCTGTTTGGTTCGTGGCATCGTGTGATTGACTGGGCGGAGCTTGTGATCCCTGGACCCCGTACACGGTCCCCTGGTCAGCCTCATCTTGCTGCGATTGGGATGGATGACTTCGGTCTATATCGAACCTGCAAAATATTAACTAACGACATGGAACTCCTGCTTTAATTATCAAAGGTTCCATCTCATCCTCACCCGGGCAATAAAGACCTATCCGAGCCAGAGCCGATTTGTGCTTCCCGCATGGTATTTGTCCTGGGGCCTGGTTGTACGAAGGAATTGTCACGATCGACCAACTCGAGACCTCTTTAACTTATTTGAGCTGATAGCCATGCCTGTCTTGAGCAACGGCATCAGTATCCTGTATACCCCCGAGAAGACGGACCCTTTCGCAGAGTAAGTCAGCCGCTTTGATTCTCCGGTTGTAAGTAATGCGGCTCCTCAGCCCTGGTTGTTACTAGCATCGTCTTTGTCCATGGATTCCAAGGCCACGCAAGAAAGACATGGACAGCACGCGCGCCAAAATCCACGAAATCCAGAGGCCGGCAGCAAAAACCAGCTGTCCTGGACCGGCCTACCGTTAGGGACTCGCAGTATCAGTTAACGCCAGATGATGGCCAGCCAGAAGACTCCAAGACAGACATCTTCTGGCCCTCGGATCTGCTGCCAGAAGAGTGTCCCGACTGTCGAATTATGACTTTTGGGTATAACTCGATGGTATCCAAATTCTTCGCAGGCCCGGCGAACCAGAATAGCCTCCTCGAGCATTCCAGGAATTTCCTACATGCGCTTGGGCGAAGTAGAGACGATTGTGTGAGTCCGTCAATCTTCTTGTGTGGTGTTGGTAACTAGTTAGTTAGTTAGTCAACTGCTAACTAACATCAACGTTTAACACTCTCCAGCGAGGTCGATATATCATTTTTGTGGCCCACTCGTTTGGAGGTATGTAAATCGGTCAAAAGTGCCAACTTCCTTTCATTTGCATCAGAAACATCCAACTGTATTAAGTGACAGCCAGCTAACCAAATCAACCTATCAAAGGCCTTATTGTGAAGGAGGTAACTACAGTTTATTAAGATACCCCTATTCTTCAACAGTTCAGATGAAGGAGTATCTCACCTCTATAGGTCCTTCGCCTTGCCGCCAGAGACGAAGATGCCTCTGTGCTTGATATCAGAGATTCCACCAAGGCAGTCTTCTTCCTCGGGACGCCCCATCATGGCAGCGGACTGGCAACGTCTGGCGAGATGAGGAGAAAAATGGTTGCATTCAGCATGTTCAGCACCAACGCGTACATTCTACGCGCCTTGCACTATGGCAGCCATGAAAGCAAAGTTGCTCATGATGACTTTATGCGCCAATGGCACCAAGAACGATTTCTGGTCCGCACTTTTCAAGAAAGCCTCGCTTTTGGAATCTTTCCTGGAGTTTCGGGAAAGGTTTGACATCCTATGTTCATCCTGTGCGAAGACTAGCTAACCAATCATTATAGATAGTTCCTGATATATCCTCATCGCTGGGGGACCCAAGGGAGAATGCCCAATATATTAATGCTAATCACCGTGATATGTGCCGTTTTACAGGTAAAGATGACCCTGGATATCAACAAGTGGGAAGTGAACTACGAAGGGTTACAAACAAACTTCGCCTGGAGTATAAGATATCACAAGACAAGGCACAGGATGTCAAATCCGAACATATTGGTAATTATACATGCCCAGTTTTCCGTTTAACTTTGCTAAAATGACTGATTATACTGATTGATGGGTAGAGGAACTATCTTCTGAAGAGCTAGGTATGGGACCTCTTCAATGGTATCCTTCTCTTTGTACTAATATGTAATAGAATGTCTACGTTCATTGTCCGTCCCCGAAGCTGACATGTGGGACTACAACGTTGACCAAGAAGTCCAAGCCACTTGTACTTGGCTGTTCGATAAAGAAGAATATTGTTCTTGGAAAGATACATCCAACTTAGACTTGAAGAGTTCTCTTTTACGGGTTAAAGGGAAGCTGGGAACTGGAAAATCAACCTCTGTAAGGGTTGCTATGTCAAGACTATGGAGTGAGCAATCAACCTGTCCTGGGATCAAACTAGCATTCTTCTTCGATAACCTTACCAATACCCCCGGGAACCCTCAACTTCGGCTCTTCAAATCACTTCTGTTCCAGCTCTTCCAACAGTCAAAGCAAATTTTCCTTAGGTTTATGCCCATCTTTCGCCGAAAGAAAGGTTTACACAATAACCACTGGGCATGGAGTGAAGACGAGCTGAAGTCCTTTTTCCTATCAGTAATGAAAGATCTGCCTGTTTCTTCGGCTTTTATATTCATTGATGCTCTCCATGAATGCGATGAGGCTAGAGATGTCATTACGTTTTTTGAGTCAGTTCGCACTTCCAGCATTGAGAAAAACATCCCCTTGAAGATATGCTATTCCAGTCGGCATTACCCTCCCATAGATGTTGGGGACTACGCTGAACTCATTATTGATGCACACAACAATTATGATATCGAAAATTATATCCAAAGGAAATTGAAACCCCTGCTCAAGAGACGATATATTGACAGGCTTATGGACCGTATTGCCGAGAAAGCCCAGGGGGTGTTTCTATGGGTTGTTCTGGTTGTGGGTAAGGTTATTAAAGCCCATGACCAGGGTGAATCAATGGAACGAATGCAAGAAATTGTTGAAAATGTGCCAGATAAGCTGGAGTCCCTCTATAGAGAGGCTCTCAAGTCTGCCCTCCTGAATCGTCCCGGCGAAACATTGTCCATATTCCAATGGGTTCTCTGCACTTCCAGATTGCTTAGCTTGACCGAGCTACGTTATGCCCTGATATTTCAGAAGAATGGATACAAATCCCAGGCCGAAGCCGAAAGTTGTTCATCCTTTATTGAATGTGACGAGCAAATGGATATACTTCACAGAGTCCGCACAGGTGGCCTAACGGATACAAGCACTAGGAAGGCGATAAACACGGCGTATGCGCGCCAGATATTTGACGCGGACAACCAAACTACGATCCATCTCGTGCACGACTCGGTAAGAGACTTCCTCTTGAACCACGGTGGCCTCAAACTTCTTGATTCTGGATCCGCCGATGACCTACTTCGTCAGGGTCACAAGAGACTCGCAGAAGCATGTATAAACTATTTAAACTTAGCCGAATTGCAACATATAGCAAAGACTCGACCTGAGCCGGATGTCCTTGGTCTAACAAAATCAGTTGAGCTCTTTCAGCAACTTTGCCGCCAGCTCCCATTTCTCCACTATTCTCTCAATTCGGTTTTCAAGCACATCGAGGCAGCCGAGCTTTGCTCCATGGATGATAATGGCCCACCTTCATATTTATATCATCGCATGGAGAATACATTCTTTGTTTGGAGGTACCTCTCTGACCTCGAAAGTAAATGCCGCTTTAACGAAGTCCAGGGAAAGGAGACAATCCTAGCCCATTTGGCAGCAGAATACGGGCTGGTCAGCTGGGTTAAATACTACATCTCAAGCGGCGGGGATGTTCACAGGGAGGGTGGTCGATTTGGTACACTGCTTCAGGCAGCAGCTGGCATGGGTCATGAGGAAGTGTTTGACCTCCTTCTGAGCCATGGAGCAGACGTTAATTATTTATCCGGGATGCTGGGATTAGCGTTGGTCGCAGCTGCCTCAGAGAGCCATTTATCCATTGTCAAAACCCTTATTCAGCGAGGCGCAAATGTCAATGAAGAATGCGGGCCATACGGATGTGCCCTACAGGCTGCTGTTCGTTCTCCAAGAGACAGCAGCAAGCTTGTACATATGCTTCTTGATGCTGGAGCGGATATCCATATGCAACACGGAATATATGGCACTCCTCTCCAGGCAGCAGCTTATAAAGGCAGGGAAGAAATAATCAGAACCCTACTCGCGAGAGGAGCCCAAGTCAATATTGTATCCGGTAAATATGGAACCGCCCTTGGTGCAGCTGCATTCCAAGGCCATGACCAAATAGTTCAAATATTCCTTGAGCACGGCGCTGATACAACCACGGAAGCGGGTGACTATGGCAATTCCACATGGGCAGCAGCGTACAATGGGAAGGAGTCTGTCCTACGGCAACTTCTCCGCCATCGCTATCCATCCTGGCAAGATGATATCCTGGAGAGTGAAGTACGAGGCATGATGAACCAAGCCATGCGTACAGTAGCGTTCCATGAAGCTGCAGAAGATGGGGACTTTGATTCGGTCAAGAAATCATTGGAAGAGGGCATCGACCCAAATGCAAGAGGAGGAGTTGATAGCTCTGCTTTACATGCAGCAGCGTTCTATCAACACGCCGAGATAGTAGCTCTATTGCTTGCTCAAAAGGATATCAATGTTGATGTCAGGGACTATGACGGCCGAAGCCCATTATGGATAGCAGCAAGTGACGGGAATATCGAGATCACAAAGATGCTTCTCAACACCGGTCGAGTCGACGTTCGACAAAAACCTGCTTCAGGACGCAATCTCCTATGGTATGCGGCTAAAGATGGAAGAATGGACATGGTCCGACTGATGTTGGAAGCTGGTGTAGACCCCTTTGAGGTTGATGATGATGGCGTTTCACCAATCATGAGGGCCGAAAAGGAAGGACGAAAAGAGGTGGTTTCACTATTCCAGACGGGTAGGGAGAAGAAATAGCCACTGGCCGCCTGGTTTAGTGTGTAGATGAATTATTGCTCATAAGAGTCTCAAGGATATAAAATTGACTATGTACAGTAGACATAGCGCGACCACCTATTTACGATATTATAAAGATGTATGAATAATGGTTCATCTCAAAGTCTATATCTATAGATAGTAATATTATTACACTTAGTTATTTACCTCTATTCTCAAGGAATAAAAATTTAACCAAGTCAGCACCAAGTATCCGGCCCTTACTAGTTCTCTTCGTCATCCTCTTCATCATCATCATCATCTTCTTCTTCTTCTTCACCATTGTCGTCGTCATCGTCATCGTCATCATCATCATCATCATCTTCTTCTTCTTCTTCTTCAATGTCGCTATCTTCATGGCCATCGTGATCAAACTTCAGCCCATAGTCATCCTCAAAATCGCGAAGAGAGCGTATTTTCAGCTGGAAGCCTGCTGATTCAAACCCCTTATTGATGGCCTAAAAACAATCATTCATCTAGTTAGTGGACTGGGGTATAATTATTTTTGAATAGTATGTTCCTCACCTCTTTGAGGGCTGGGGCACAGGTCACAAATAGATCTGTCATTCCTGCGGTAAACAGGGGTAAAACGAAATCATGGATGGCCTCCTTTACTTGTCCCATATCAATAGCTCTAATCTTCTTCAACAGAGTCTCATTGTAGTCACTCGGTAAGTTGAGAATTGTGTCTTTGACAAAACTATCAAAAGCTGCCTCGTAATAAGTCTGTTTTTCAGTAGCGAACTGGTTAATCAAAGTGCTAACAGCGCATTCCAGTATGTTCTTTGATTCAACTTCCATACAACCAGAGAGAAGACCCTCAACGGTTTTCTTTGCTGTCTCAAAAGCTTTGTAAGCATTGGGAGATTGATGAATCATGAAATGTATAAGCCCACTTTCAATATTCGTTCGCAAATAGAAAAAGTAGGCTAGTCCGGGCCCTCGAAGGGCGTTCCACATTGGCCCCTCTTCCATGTTCAGATAAGCAATGGCAACCATCAATGCAGGTAATTTTGGGTCATCATGAGAACAAATGCCTTTCGAGCTCGACTCAGCATATGAAGAATCCATCGACCTTATTGGAACAACATAGGCGTGCTTGCCCAGGTGTCTGCCAGCATCACTTAGCCGTTCTGCCACATAGACCACGGGCTTCAGCTCCTTTGAGGTATCCAAGCCGGCTATAAATGGGTTCCACGACGTGACGGGGCTAGTAAGTTTTTTAACATCGGCAATAACGAGAACTCTAAAGTTTTCAGCACGGAAAAGTGACTGTCGAACTTCCTCCATTTGTCGGACAACTTCATCTGGTTTGGTAGCCAACACTTTTTGGACACGTTTTAGATATCGACCTTTCACGAGCGCCGTGTAGGCTCTAGATATGGACTTTTCTCCCAAGTGCGTCATTATCCCGATAGCTTCCACCATAACTTCTCCATCTCTTCTTTCTTCTGGGACATCTGCGAGTAGCTTGGATGTGACAGCCCTCAACCTGTCAACAGCAAAGATTGAGTTCCATGTTAGATCTTTCAGCCAGGATATGGCGGCTTGATACCTATTGGCCTCTACCTGGAGGGAGATCGAAAGGGATTCAGGGTTGCTGTAAGTTGGAGACATCCAGTAGCCCACTGTATCTTTCTCTAGATCAACAATAACCCGTTCGAACGATAATATTTCGCCATCCTTTTTGATGGGCAGGCTGAAGAAGGATTCAGTGTATAATGGCAGTAAAGGCAGCAAAGTATGAGGTACATCCTCCGTTGAGATCATCAGGATCAGCTGCACGAAGTTGCTAGATATACCCTCGAAGTGGATGAATAAAGGCAATTCAGAGCCATCTGAATCTATTAATTTCTGGGTATCATTATCGGTACGTTTAGACTTCAAAGCATGACCTGCCTTTGCCGTAGCTGTTTGAATGAAATGGATAGAATCAGTACCAGGAATGGTAAATCTTGACATTAGATCAGTTGACGGTTCCTCAACATGATCCCTCTTTGCCTTCTCTAGAGCCTCTGCGAGCCTCTTTAACCCCTCTGCCCCCAGCTCGGCTTTTCGTTCCTCGATACGCTTCTGTTCATCCTCCATCACATCTGTAGCCATTTTGGCAGAAGGGATAGCCAAAACAGAAACATGATGTGCGTTAGAAATCCACTTCTTAATATAATCTCGCCATTCCAAATCAGTCCATTCCTCTAAAACCTTGTACTCTTCCAACGTTCCCAGAGTTTCTAGTGTTGAGCCATCCCGTTCCCCGAAGAGGAAATCAGTTATTACAGCTTCAGTAAATGAGGTAGTCGATGTCTCTGTTGCAAATTTCCAGATCCGTTGGTGTCGCTGAATGCAGTCATGCATGTATTTCATGTCAATCTCCCTTTCCATTGCATCTTTCAGGATCTCAAAGAACCGGCGTTCAACAGCCTCCAGCTCTTCCGTGGCGACATTTGACAGGGTGAAGGTAATTTCCGTATGCGGCCTCTCCTCTGTGTCATATGTTACTGCGGATGTAACCTGCTCCTGTTCAACAAGGGCATGCACCAAAAGAGAAGCAGATGAGCCTGCAAGGTATAGCAGAGTAACGTTTAACGCGCTCGCTTTGTAAAGGTTAGCATCATCAACATTTCTCTAGAATATTGTACTGCCTACCCAAAACACGGTCCTTGAGATCAGGCCCAAGGAAGCGAATCTGAATCATTCCAAAGGACTCATCATCCTCTGGGAACTCAACCCATTCAACAACTGACTTCTGAAGAGGCGAAGCCTGAGGTGAGTCAATCCAAGGCCTTATAAAATGGGCAGACGGGCTTGGAATAATATCCATAATCGTGTCCTCCAGTTTATGGAGTATCTCAAAGAGATTCTGGTGGTCAATCTCGCCTGTAATAACAAGGCATAAATTTTTCGGTTGGTACATTTCTCGATGAAACTCGCGGATTCGGTCTGCCGTAAGAACTCTAAGATTTTCTATCATTCCACCAGTTTCATACCTAAATCCAACGCCTGCAGGATAGAGTAGTCTGCGGCCACAGACATCAGCACGGTATAGAGAGTCATTCCGGAATGATTGCATTTCAGAATACACAACCCCTGCATCATGCCCAGTGCCATCAATATGGTACACCTCTGTGTAGCAGCTAGAGTCACTTAATGTCGGGGTAATGATATGTTCTAGGTATACTGGTAACAATTGAGCAAATGCCTCCCATCCAGCAGACTCGAGCGTATAAGCGGTATGATCGACAGTTGTCCAAGCATTGATCTCCGAATACAACCGGGCTGAAAGTTTGTAAAGAATCCCTTTGTCTTGATAGTTTCTTGAGCCCATAAAGCACAAATGCTCCAAAGTATGGGGCGCACCAGAGTCATCGTGGATCTCAGTAGCAAGCACAAAGTGCCCTTGAACTCTTGGGCCTTTCTGGTCTATGGTGACCACTCTCATTCCAGTTCTTTGGGACTCATATTGGGTAAAAAGAGAAGCAGAGTAATCTGGGGTAAACCGATTGACAATCCAAAAAGAGGATCTCGACTCCATGTTGGCACTATTCTGCATGTCTGTAATCAAGGCTGAATCACAGCCCGCCCCTCTCTGTAACTAAGGAATTGGCTCCCCAGAGTAACCCGTAGATCCTGATCCGAGTCTGGTGTAATTGAAGGGAGCTTTCCCTACCCGTGGTCCGTTGGATAAGGTCCTGGACTCGAAGTATTTTAACTTAGTAAGTGGTTGAAGCCCTTCGTTGACCTTTGGAAGATTTGCTTTGAAGTTATCAGTTAACAAAAATTATTGTTCGTCCCGCATTGCTTGGCGCTTCGGCCAAAAGGCCATCATCACATCCAAGCTTAAATTTAACTACTACTACCACCACTCCGTATGCACTTCATTTATGTCAACAACAAGCATTCTAGCAATTGCCGCGGACAGCCTACAGCATTCAAGTTACTAGAGCGCTAAGAGTTACCTGGTTGCTGGAGTCTAATTCTGCAGTGCGCGGTAAGATATGGCCATATTGTAACTAATGGGTATCTCGGACTCCCAACTAACATCTTGATGAACAGGTGTATCAAGCCACTACAGAGCAGTTCTGAGGCCACTGTCGCCATGCCGGGGACCGTTTCTGCTGACAAAGTGCACCGGGCACTACTCAAATTTATAACCGATGGCTCATTCCCGGAATCAGAGTCCATAACCGAGGCGGAGTACCCCGTCACAGCTCTACCTGCCGGACTTGAGCAGATATCAGAGGCGAGACAGAGGATTGAGGTATGGGATATCTTTGACGAGAGATTACGACCTAGCCACACATAACTGACCAATGCTCACTGCGTAGAAAGAAATCAGCGCCCTGAGCCAGGACAAAGCGTCCGACGTCGATGAATGGATATCGCAAGCAAAGCAGCTTCATAAAGACATAGAACGATCGAAACTGACGGCAAGGGAAATTGTCAAAAATTACGAGAAAGCACAAGCTATACAGAATCAAGTTGAAGACACAGCAGCCAAAGTCGGCCTTTTAAAGCGCGAAACTGCATTTACACAGTCTTTAAGGGAAACCCTCGAAAACGCGCGCATCATCGATAACAATATAGATGCTGCGCAGGCCTGCGGAAATGATCACAACCTGGAAATAGCAATCCAGAAACTCGACCTGGTTAACCAGGACTTGGATCAACTGACTCTGCCCCAAGACTCGACCATTATTACCATACTAGCCGACAAGGCTTCCACGGTCAGAAGCTCCCTATGTGCCACACTACAACATTCATGGAACAACTTAGTTCATATCGACAAAGCAGGGATCCTCACCATTAAAGTAGATGGTAAGTTTGTTCTATCATATGACAATATTGGTATTGTTTATTGACATTGCATAGATATATCTCTGTTAGACCGGCATTTGAACTGGCTTTCAAATCTGGGGATCTTGGAGACCACTCTTGTTTCTTTTCGGGAAGAGCTTCTAAGTCACATTCTGCAACCCATTTTGTCTCCTTCACGGACCGGCCCATATAATCTCCTCTCTTCTGGTGAGAACTATATCCAACTGAAGAGTCAAGTTGCAAAGCCTACAATATCAGACGTTCTAGGCTCGATACTCTCCCTGTTTACATTCATCCAGAGCAATCTTCCAGCTAGGGCTCTAGAAGTGGTCTCTACCACTCTCTCTACCGCTTCATGTCAGCTCCTAATTTCAGAATGGATGTCACCGGCTATACCTGTGGCTGTGGAGGACATGAATGCCTTTGAGCGTACCTTGGACGAAGTACCACAATTTTCCAAATCTCTGGGTGAACTCGGATGGCATGTACCTCTTGAGCTAGGATCCTGGAGAAACCAAATTCCTCGGTTGTGGTTATCACGCCGACGTGCCCATGCCTTAGACCGTGTTAGGTCGATTGTATACCGTCATTCTGGTGAATATAAAAAGGCCGAACGGATAGAAAAGCAGCAAGTGTCACAGTCTAATAGCATATTTCAGGGAGATAATGAGGAAGCAGAGGTTGAAGATGACTGGAATGCCAACTGGGAGGATGAGAATGAGGAAGCAGACAAGAAAAGCGCGGGAACTAGAATAGCTGACCATGAGGATGAAGACGTTAGTGCGTGGGGACTAGATGATGATGAGGAAGATAAGCCCCAAGAAGGAACGGGCATGAAAAAAGGAGAAGACGGCGATGACGATATAGACGACGCCTGGGGATGGGGCGAAGACGAAGCAAATGACAACCCGACTGAGGAAAAACCATCAACCTCGGCGAGCAAGGCGCCAAAGACAAAGGAAGATAACAAGCCATCGCAAGCCTCAAAAGAGGTTGTCCTACGGGAATTCTATACCGTTACCAATGTACCAGACGCCATTATTGAAGTCATAGGAGATCAAGTTTCTGACTCCGAATGCCTTAAACAACCTGAGTAAGTCATTTCACAAGCAACTGGCGCGCGTTTTACAGACCCTTCTAACGGTTCTACAGATACTCATCATCTCAGCTTTCCCCATCTGCTTCAGCTCTCCTCGGAATCCCCACGTTAGTGGTTGCCATGTTCAAAGCTATGGCACCAATCTTCTATTCCCAAAAATCGACTTCCAGCCATATGTATCTCTACAACGACAGTATCTACTTAGCTGAGAGACTACGAACTTTCTCTGAGGAGCATGGGTTTTCAAGATTAGCAGGGGATATAGACTCCATCGAGAAATTTGGACGTCTGTCGTACGGGAGGGAGATGCATTCCCAACGAACAATACTGACCGATCTTCTGGATGGTTGCCAGGGATTCTCAAGCTGCAATGCTCAGCCTTATCTCGGAGAATGCGAGAGAGCAATCAAAGCAACGGTCGACAGAGTGAGAAGTGTGCACAGCGAGTGGAAATCCATACTCTCCCCCTCTGTACTCCTGCAATCTATCGGCTCTTTACTCTCGACGGGGATAAACAAGATTATCTTAGACATTGAAGACCTTGGAGATATCTCGGACCCCGAATCACAGCGCCTTGCTGGATTCTGCAGCTCGGTGTCGAAACTTGAAGATCTATTCCTTCCAGAGGTATCTGAGGAAAGCAGAGGAGCTGGCGATGAGCCTATCGCCATGACAGCAATCTATGTCCCGAACTGGCTTAAGTTCCAGTATCTTATGAACATATTGGAGAGTTCTTTGGCAGATATCAAATATCTGTGGACGGAGGGTGAATTGAAGCTAGAATTCTCCACCGACGAGCTCATTGATCTGATCAAGGCGTTATTCGCGGACTCAGAGCATAGGCGGAAGGCAATATCAGAGATACGGAGCTCTTCATAGTAGCTGTTAATATAATTTACTATTTATGGTCTCCATTATGGTTTTTCCCCGAGCTTCAAAGTAACGAACTGTTGCCAAGGATTTGCACACTCTGCTCATCCCGCCAGCCGTAAAAAGTTTCGCGATAAAAAAAAAGTATCAGAGATAAAGCTCAATTGGTTGTCGAAGGAAGCCCGCAGTGCTCAACTGGATATCTGGCAGTTTACAACCATGGATACACTGATGGACTCTACGTCAGCTACCGAGGGACAGTCCTCGCAAGTACAACGACAAGTCCGATTGCGACTGACATCGCGCCATGCTGATCTCGCACTGCCGGATTCGACTGGTTCTATTCTCGTTCCTACAGGTATAGCTCAAATATTTCATGTGCCGCCTGGGTTAAAAGATGTTATTCCATAGTGATTGCTAACTGAAATATTCCTAATCATAAAAAGAGCTACGACGATATGCCCTATCCACGCTTGTGAATAACCTGCTTGAGTTGCCAAAACCAGTCCCGTTTGAGTTTTTGATAAATGGGCGCTACCTCCGAACTTCAATAGACGAATACCTGACTGCCAATGGAATTTCTGCGGAAACAGTCCTTGATGTCGAATATGTTCGAGCGCTCATACCTCCACTCCATGTTGCTTCCTTTTTGCACGACGATTGGGTGAGCGCCGTTGACATTTTGTCCGGGACCTCTCATGCTGCGCAATGGAGCAGCAAAGAGATACAGTCAGGAAAAGAGAGGATACTGTCTGGTAGTTATGATGGACTGCTAAGGATGTGGAATATGTCGGGAGAGACAATTGCTGTTTCTCCATCGGCTGGGAATGGCGGGCACAGTTCATCGATAAAGGGTGCTCGAATGACCTCAACAAACCAGATTGTGTCTTGCGGAATTGACCGAACTGTGCGATTGTGGAAGTACAGCGAAAGCGAAGATGGATTTTCTGCCTCAATCACTCCTCAGGTTGAATACTACGGGCACAAGGGAAGCGTTGACTCTATTGCGGTTCATGGTCCGTCAAACAGGATACTCTCTGCCTCTGCCGATAACACCGTGGGATTCTGGTCTACGAAGAAATCCGAAAGCCCCGAGGCACCGTCAGACCTATTGCCTTCAAGCGCTTCCAGAAGTGCTAAACGGCGGAAAGTCAAATCCTCTGTCAGCACTCCCCAGCGAGGGCCGTTGGCGTTGTTTGAATCACATACAGCACCTGTGTCTGCAGCCATATTTGACGCTAAGGATTCAACTGTTGGGTATTCGACTTCATGGGATCACTCACTTCATACCTGGGATCTGGTTACGTCTGCTCTTGTCGATACTCGAACTACTTCCTATTCTCTACTATGCGTTGAACATCTTCCGCAGCTTACACTGCTCGCTGCTGGTACGGCTGCTCGACATATTACCCTGATTGATCCTCGTGACTCGGCCACGACCGTTTCCGCCATGACTTTGAGGGGACACACTAATGTCGTTGTTTCTTTGGCCCGGGATCCAAACAGCCAATATGGACTGATTAGTGGTAGCCATGACGGGACATGCAGAATATGGGATATACGGTCCACGAAGACTGAAAAGGACGGGGTAGTCGGAGAAAGCATATACTCCATATCGAGAAAGTCAGTTGAAGATGAAGGAAAACGAGTGGGCGGTGACGGTGTAAAAGTGTTTGACGTCTGCTGGGATAAAACTGTCGGAATAGCCAGTGTTGGCGAGGATAAAGCTATCCAAATAAACCGAGGGGAGGGTATACTCCAGAAAGACGCAGTATTAAAATAAAATAGAATGGGAGTGGGAAACAAAATAGAGCAAGCTAATCGATATTTCTAAAGCGCCCTAGGTTCGATTACTTGTATCAAGAATTTGTTTTATATTGTTACATGACAGATACATGCTTAACGCCGCCCCAATACCCCTGTATAGTAGTACATCACAAAAATAAGAGTGTTTTAAAAAAGATATTGCAGCACAATCATAGTTTTCTGTCAATGCGGTTGAATTTGATAGCATTTTTGATCTACGTCAAGAGTTAGTGATGATTACCCAGATTGAATTGACTTCAACGTCACATACCTGGCTTCTGGTGTTCTGTCCTCTAACTGGGAGGTTGAGAGCATGTCTTCTTCCTCGGTATGTTCCAGTAGTCTTCAGTCTCTTGATGTTATCGAGAATCTCTCGCTTCAAGTCGTTTTCGATCTTCATATTTGACAATGCACCAGTCAAATCCAGGACCTGTCTGGTTGCCAGTTCACCGACGGTCGAAGTGGGATGGATGTGGAATCGAGCCATCAGCTGGTTGCATCGCAGCTCGCCTATGCCGAAAAATGAGCGCAGGGCTTTCTGTATAATATGAACAGTTAGAATTAACGGCGAGAGTCCGTGTTCTGGATGAGGGCTGAACTTGCTCTAACGAGCTGTCGCTCGGGAAAACTGGTGCCTAAGATGAAGACCTGGCCATAACAAGTTAGCTGACGACTTTCAATTGGTATACTTCAAACACTTTCTGGCCTTACCATGGTGGCTAATGCTGCGTTAATCTACTTCTTCACACTCTATCAGCTGCTCTCGCTCGTTTTCATCTATCGCATTCACAAGCCGACATCGAACTTTGAATTCCCACAGGCCTGGAGGTGCCCGTAGGTCATGCCAAGATCGGTTATCGGCAATACTATTATTCCGCAACTTTATGCATCCCGATTCCACGCCCGATTCATAGAGGCCAGCAGTACTCCAGGCCATGATATACAACTGTTAAATCTCATATATCTAATATTATTAAATTTGGCAAAGAGACTATGGGCAATATACCCAGCCAGCCGTAGATCAGCAGTACGAGAACAGAGCATAAGAATCAATGAAAGCCAGAGAACAACGCTAAACTACAGAGCTGATGTCCTCCCTATCTTCATGGACTTATCGATTCAAGCGTATAATTTTAGTGCATAAGATGATGACTCATCAAATAAACTCCCCTTATGCCCGCGCCTGACCAATCAGCTGAACGCAAAGTCGAAAGTTTCAACATCCGCTAAGATCGCCCGTGTTTTGGCAGACGAGGAGGTGGATGTTCATAAAACAGCCACGTCTCTCCTCTGCATGCCACTGTCTCCTCCCCATCTACCTCCCGTTACCATCTGCCCCAGAATAAGCATCTCGTCTACACTTTTTATATACACGATATGGCCAGAATTGGGCGTATCTTGACCCTTGTGGTCTTCGCCGCCGTTGCTCTGTTCCTCTTCATGGGACAGACGGTCGAGGCCAAAGGTCCCAAGATCACAAGCAAGGTACCTCAAGTCTTTTGACAGCGAAAGCCTGGAGATGGCATCGAGGCGCTAATCAACAGTGATATATAGGTCTACTTTGATATCGAGCATGATGGTCAGCCCCTCGGACGGATTGTCATGGGATTGTACGGAAAGACGGTACCAAAGGTGGGTTGACCGATTCTCAATATTCACCGAACGATGCGTTAATCATACTGACTATGTGTGACATAGACCGCTGAGAACTTCCGGTATGGTCAATATCCGATATACCTCAATTGTGCCGAAGGCATTCAAATGCTGATGAGTACAACATAATAGCGCTTTGGCTACTGGCGAGAAGGGATTCGGATATGAGGGATCTACCTTCCACCGTGTTATCAAGGACTTCATGATCCAGGGTGGTGACTTTACCAATGGTGACGGTTAGTACTACTTATATCCTACTTACCGCACCTTAATATGCTGACCAATTGTTTAAAACTTAGGAACCGGTGGAAAGTCCATCTACGGCAACAAGTTCGAGGATGAGAACTTCAAGCTACGCCATACCAAGAAGGGTCTTCTCAGTATGCTACTGTGCATTCTTTGCGTAATGGTACGATTGCTTATATTAACCGCAACTTCATTATAGGCATGGCCAACGCCGGAAAAGATACCAACGGATCTCAGTTCTTCATTACCACCGCTATTACAGCGTATGTTTACACCCATTAACTATGCGACGTAGCACTTACAATTGCTGACCACGGATGATATAATAGCTGGCTTGATGGAAAGCACGTCGTCTTCGGCGAGGTGCTCGAGGGATACGATATCGTTGATAAGATCCAGGTCGTCCCCAAGGGCTTCCAGGACCGTCCCACCAAAGATGTAAAAATCGCCAAGTGTGGAGAACTTGACATGAAGGAGGAAGCAGAGGGTGAAGGTACTGAATCACCATCTAAGCCCGACTCCGAGAAAGAACAGGCCCCAGTCCGTGATGAAATCTAGACGGTTTTATCCAGGGTTCCTGGCCTCGTCATGCCCTGAATTTCCACAGACACACCTATCCTTTCTTAATCATCATCATCATTATCATCGTTTCCAAATGCCATGTCCTTATAACTTACCGTCCGGATCTGCTGATGATTATGAACTGTGTCTATTTATGAATTGAAAGGATTCTTTGGACGCTTCAGATTCTATAGAGGCAGTCAAGCCCCCATGACGCCAGACAGCACAAAGTAGAAGACAACTATGCAATCCAACTTACTACCCAACATCTTGCTTGCTCTCCGGCGCTTGTATATACAATTTATCATTCCTACCTGTGTTATCTTTGATTCGCGGTGCAGTATAGATGTCGCCCTATACAAGTCGGTCTCTGTAAGTACGAACTATTACCCTTTTGGCTGTTCGTAGTTTTACTGTGGATGATGATATTGGCGTATTCATATTCGTTGGATGGTACGTATGTTTCTCACAGTAATAGTCACAGTCGCCTCCATGCCATAACAATCGGTTGCTGCTAACATTCAATCCTTCATCGAGATAATCCTTCACCTCGGTATAAGACGATCGATGCCAATACCAGGGTACCTTCAGCCTGATCCTTCTCATCCACTCCGCCACAGTCAGCCCTATCAACAAGCATCCTCGGCGGCCCATAGGGCCTCATCGGGATGGCTCACAGCTTGTGTCCTCCTGCTTCATAAGCAGTCAAGCAAAATATCAGCTGTGATAGACTTTCTTTCTATTCTGCACTGCGATGATACCCATTACTTAAAGAGCACGATGGGCTGTCGAAGCCGTAAGATGGGTTCATCCTGCTATCTATCAGACACTGCCTCATGATGCGATTTCTACTCCAAACACTTGCGCTTTGCGCGGTTTTTATACCAAGTTCAACATCCTCCCCTCTTGAACGACTTAGCAGTCATGATAATAACAACGACCACACCAGGCCGGTTGTGACCATCGATTCGGGTGTTATCATCGGTAAAAATGCGCATGTCCCTGGCTCAACGGAAACAGTGCATCAGTTTCTCGGTATCCCTTTTGCCAAACCGCCAGTCAAGAACCTTCGGTTCTCACTACCAGAACACCCACTGCCCTGGCATAAACCCCTGCATACTACCAAAAGTCCTCCAGCTTGCATACAAGATTTCGGCAACAAGACTTCTGGGAGCGAATTTCAAAAAGCGTTGTTCAACACGCCTCCCGCACCCGGGGAGAGCGAGGACTGCCTGTATTTGAACGTCTACCGGCCCAAAGGTGATTACAAGGGAAAACCGATATTGTTCTGGATATTCGGCGGTGGATATAGATTTGGAGCAAGTTCGTATCCGTTTTACGACGGTTCAAGCCTTGCTGCAAATCAGGATATCATTGTGGTTACCGCCAACTATCGAACGAACTGTGAGTATATTGATACCGTCCGTATAGCTATGCCATAGAAAAGAATGACTAAATCTTGACCAAGTGTTTGGGTTTCCCCGGTCACCACAGCTTCCATTGGACAAGCGGAACTTGGGTATACTTGATCAAAGACTGGCTCTTGACTGGGTAAAGAGAAACATCCATTCTTTCGGAGGTGACCCCAATAAAGGTATATTAACTAATGAAGCTTCTTCCTCTGCCTTTGCATATCATAACTAACTGATATTTTAGTCACCATTGCTGGACAATCTGCCGGAGCAGTATCCGTGGGCCATCTTATCAACACAGCTCCCTCTAATCTGCCGTTTCGAGCTGCCATTTTGCAATCAGGCTCTTCACTCTTCCAGCTCCCTCCAAGTCCTCCCAATAGCGAATTCTCATCTTGGACGGACTTGGTACAACGTCTCAACTGTACCAATAGCTCAGATGCGGCCGTCCTAGAATGCGTTCGTGGCGCAAGCGTTGGTACCTTGCGTAAGATACTGTTGGAGACCGGTCTGCCATTCCAAACCCCCAACATGGACGATGTTACTGTCCTTGAATCCCCAGCCAAGGCGTATGCTGCAGGCGAGGCCGCGAAAGTACCGATCCTCATAGGCTCAACTCTAGACGATGGATCAACGTTCGCTTACGGCAAGGGGGACAATGTTACGGCCTTCATCAACAGTTTATCATTTCCCCCTGAAATAGCGGAGGCGATAATTAAACTGTATGCACCGAACTCCACGGCAACAGCAAGCCTATCAACTGGTAGCCAAATAATCTCACAGATTATAACGGATTCGACATTCCGTTGCCCGGCTGGCTTCGTCGCGAACCTTACTGCAACAACTCTGAAAGTACCTGTATGGCAGTATCTGTTCTACGATCCGGCCGCAAGTCATCCTGACTACGCAGAACTAGGAGTCTACCATACGTCTGACATAGCTTATGTATTCGGCACGCAGGGGCTGCGCGATCCGGGACAGGCGAACAAGCTCTGGTTACAAAAGCTATGGGCAGACTTTGTCAAGAACCCGCAAGCGGGCCCAAGCTGGAAGCAATACCCTTCCGTTGGCCTGCTAAGAGGAGACGGGGCAAACGCTATTCCTACCGAGGACGTGAAGACACTGGATCCCATCTGCCGAGTGTGGGATAAGCTGTACTTGTCGGCACTGCTCAGGCACTGAAGAAATTCACCGCCTCTTCCCACGGGGGTTTGCGACTATCAACAGCATTAAACCTAAACGCTCACCTTTGGACGATGATTAACCAGTGCTGGTGCAGCCTTTTTTCCTGCCGTGTCGCCATACGTTACGGTCCGGCAATCAAAAGCGTCCATCCTTGGTGATGTTCAGGATAGCATTTATCGCGGATTTACTTTGAGCCACGGAGGTTGGTTAGTTAAGAAATTAGTTTCTTGCCAGTTGAGAGGCAAGGCGAATTGGTTTTTTTCAGGAGAAGCTTCTGGCTTTCTTTTCCCTTTGTCTTCTGAAGTTAATACTGGCTTTTGGGTGGTGGCTTTTTTTGACGTAGAATTGTTTGCTCTGGCTCTCTCCCTGGCGGCCTCTCGGTGCAGACATTCTCGCCAATCCACGGAGTACTCCGAATGTATGTACGTCTCTTTTGCACTGAACATCTCGAACTACCGAGCACTTGACAGCGGTAACTTCAATAAAATGGGCTGATCTTAGCATACAGTATGCGGAGCATGGGGGTCTCTAGGGCCAACCGTCTTCGTGGCGTCTCGTAGCCTGCGTTCGAGAAGACAGCTGTTGGAGTGTCAACGCTGGATGAGGCTTTGGCTGGAAGTCGACAGACTTCCGCCTTCTCACCACCAACGTCGACCCTCGAGCGACAGCCACCCTGGACTCAAGTTAACATCGACAAGTCTATCCAGGCTCTATTAGATGCGGCAAAGGTTGACTGTCGCCTTGTACGAGGTACGAAAGCTTTGTTACGTGATAATGTGCGTCGATGTTCCATCCAATGCAGAGCAGCACCAACTAACTATTTTCCTTACGCCCGCGTCTGACGTCTGGCCAGTCACTACGACCCTCCAGGCCTTGGTTGTGCAGCCAGCGCTCCAGCACTCCAGCTCCCTGGGTCTGAAACCAGCATCCAGCATAATATGTACTTGCTTTGGTTTTGAGAAGCGCAGGCGATCGGCAATCTGCAGTATGCGGGAATAAATGAAATATTTTGTTGTCATTATTATTATTCTAGACAACCCCCCAGCATGCGGCGAGACGCAGCACCAATCATGACCTCAATCTAGAGTCACAGCAAGCTGCAGATGATGAGACTCGACGCCGTACTTCGTCCTACGAACGGTACATCGTACAACTTGTGTTCCATCGGCGGTGCGCAAGTTCGAAGGGGGACAGTCAATATCGACTGGGCCCATCCGGATAACGCAGGCCAAACAGGCCTGCCTCCCCCTTTCGCCTAACTACAGCTGTCAGATCCATGGAGCGAGAAACTGATGCGTCCGATAACAAGCCCCCCCGTTTGTCAGGCCAGGGATCGTTGCATGCAGGGAAGGTTTCGCTCTGGCGAGGGTTCGTGGGCTGGAACTATCCGATTCGACCGCCGCCGGCTCGTTTTTCTCTCCCGTCTTAAAATGAAGGTTTAGATATCACTTTTTTTTTGGAGCACGCTACGAAGACCAAGAGGGGCCCGGTTAGGAAATCCGAGAAGCGACGTGGAGAAACGAAGGGATGGCTCGTTATCGGGGCTGGTCCACCATCCGGAGAATACATGCCGTATTTATCTCAAAAAAAAAGAGCAAGGAGCAGACTGGAGAGAGAGAGGCTACGCCAGACGTCTCCCGCAGCCCGTGCAACCAAAGCCTCTCACGGCAGAGAGCAAGCAACGCACCATCATCATCCAGAGAAAGCTTCCTCCCTGATGTCTGCCTCAGGTTCTGCTGGTGGCTCTCCTTTTCTCTCCCGCTCTCTCCCTCGCCTCCATCCTCTCTTGTCACCCTGTGATCTAACTGAGTATGGTGGGCCACTTGGGATCCATGCAACGGTTGTGGAGCGAAAGAAACGCACGCTCACAGGACTAGGCACGCTAAATCTCGCAACACCACACCGCACCGCTATGGGCAGAGTTACCTGGTCACGGACTCAAAAATAAAATGATAATGGATGAACACCCGTTTGACATCAGGTCGTGCCTTTTATTTTTCCCCGTTCGCTTGACCCGGTGGGCGTTCGTTGGTGTGCCTTCTCTGCCGCCCCCTTTTTACGACGTCTGTATGGCTGGCTGACATCGCCCTGAGCGTCACTGCAGTTGCCGCACCAACCTTTTCCACGATCCATCTTGATGTCAGACTCGATCGAGTCTGAAGGGAGGAGCAGCAGGAAGGGTGAACAAGAGACGAAAAAAAAGCCAAAACGAAAATGTATTTAAACATTAATTTTTTGGAGGAAGGGATAAGCAAGACCGCGAAGGTCAATATTTGCTTTTTTACGTCCACAAGGACCCGTCTCTTCACACTATTTTCTGGTCAGGATGAAGATCGAGAGCTTGGCGGGCAATGGACGTGCAGCTAGCTGGCTGTTAGTCCAGAATTGGTCCCCTTCGTTGTTCGGCCTGGATGGCAGCGACAAACTCGACTCGAAGGGGGCGGCTCGCTCGATGCTTTTGCCTGCTCTCCCTCCCGTTCCAACCTTCGACTATTTCCTCGTTACCCTCCCCGGCTGCAACGGGAGACGAGAGTGTGCTCCATAGCAAAGCTACTGGGGGGGATATATTATGAACTAACGTCCTTAAGTGCAACCTGGGCAGGCTGCTGGGGCGCATTTTGGGTTAATTCGTTGTCATTTTCTTTTTTAGTCCTGCGTCTCTCTCTGGCCCTCCTCCAATTTTATATCTTATTTGATTTTTCTTTATTTTTCCCTGGCTCCCTTTAAGCAGCTCTGGACCCGTCCCTCTGGACTGGCAGGACAGGGACTCCCCAAAAAAGGGCACACAGAACAACATCAGATTAAAAACCAAAAGGAAGACAGAAACACCTTCGTTACACATCGAAAGACAAGGTGTCGGAGAGAAGAATAATATAACACATTGCATGCAAGAAATGATATGCGGATACCATGTTCTTCGCTGGTCTTGATCTATCCTTGTCTTGGCTGATACCGTGAACACATTCGAAGAACAAACTGTTACATTTCCTGCAAGGAATCAATCTCGCTTTGCGTTAGAGAGGTAATTCTTTCAATTTATATCGTCTCCTTCTACGATGGCCGAACATGAAGAATCAGCAATTGATGACAATAACTACGATCCTGATCGTATAGCTCCGCAATTGACCGATTCAATACAATACCTTTATCCGAAGTTCCCCCACAGCCCACTGCGATATCTACCGCCATGCCACCCAAGACGAAGAAGACGAAGCTCGCCGAACGTCGTGCTGCTGCCACGGCCGGTGCAATTGGGAAAGATGGGGCTGGCAATAACAAGAACGGGGACGTCTTCCACTTTGTGACTGTGAATCCCATATCAGAAGACCAGAAGCTGGAGAACAGGACGTTGATCCGTTCACATGCCAGCAAGTATATATGGAGGCAGCATCGAGCTGTGCGAGCTGAAAATACTGGATCAGGAGGGCTGTCTACCAACGTTAATATGGGTGGAAATGGGAACGGCTCCGGGTTAGCGGTTCGTCAATATTCCGCTGCGGATGCTGGCAAGACGGTGGCAGCGTCTCGACGTCGTGGACAGGCATTCAAGACATGGTCCGCGGGCGTTAAGGAGGAGACTCCGCCGAGTAATACTAATACTCGAATGGCAATGGGCATGGGTGTGCATAGAGTTGTTGACATGAATGACTGTGTACCCAGCATCGAGCCGGCTGTCGTAAACGGAAACCGGAACGATATACAGACCAATGTTGATACAGGTTGTGACGACCAAGGCGAGGTAGACGCAGAAGCAGACGGAGATACGGAGGATATCCCACGAGATAATAACAATATCCAGGCCCATGACAGTGCTGTTGTTGCTGACGAAGAGAGTAGCGACTCTGATGGCTCTCCTCCGCCTACTGGCTGTCGTGCCATAGCACCACACGTAAGGGCTCCAGCTTCCAGCGTGGGCAGTAACAACGTCAACCGCCCATTCAACCAACTTATACACTGGCTTGAGAACCCTGGCCAGATATGTCCTTCTATACTAGACGAGGGAGCTATAGGCAGGCTCATGCGTTACGCTGCCTTTGATCTCTGGCCTGGCCTCGTCTTGGGCGCGGAGGGTCAGCGCTGGGGCCGCGAAGCTGCAGCCGGTGTGTGGCTACCTCGGGCAATGGCGAATCCAGCACTATTCACTGCCTTCTTGTACGGAGCAGCCGGGCACATGCAAACCCGCCGCCGGCTGGATAGCGCGCAGGTCTCCCCTCAGACCAGAGGCGAGAAGATGGAGCAAATCGTCTGTGAGACCGAGACAATCAAGCAGCTGAACAAGATGATGAAGGACCCTGCCCAGGCGTTTTCTGACGAAGTTGTCCTCGCTGTTTTGTGTATGGCGTTCAACCGGATAGATTACTCTGGCTGGAAGCCCTCTGACCCATCTCCGAAAGCGCCCCTTAGGAACCTGCAGTGGCTGGATGTATATGGCGGGCTGTCATTGAATGACCATCATGTCAAGGGGCTAATGGCTATTATCGAGACGAGGGGAGGGCTCAAGTCGATAAAGATGCCTGGTCTGGCCGAGACTTTATCTACGTATGTTTCAACGCCCTTTGTTTGGCCTTCTCTATGTGTGATATTCTTTATGCTAATCTATGTCTAGATCCGGAGTGATGCTGTCGACGAAATACCTGGCCAAACCCCGTCTACCCTTTGTACCTATTTTCAAGGAGACAGCCGTGGGTCAGACACCGAACTGGCCAACGCTGAACCCGACAAATGGCACCAATAGCTCAGACTACTCTGGAGGCTCCTCAGGCGAGCCGTCTTCAACAATGACCACAACCCTACACTACCTCCTCAGCACTCGTCCAATGCACAACTCCATCCCTACCAATCCCCTCTCTCCGATCCCACCCAACCTACAAGTCATCCTGCAGAACATGCGGGAATACAATATCGTCGTGGACCTCCAGACCCAGGGCTTGCTACCGAATCTGGAACTGTCTGTTATTGCCGACCGCCGCAACTTTATCCAATACAATCTGGTCTCTCTACCTGCTTCCTACGAGTTTCCGGACAGCTACAACGCCATATACCGCCTGTATGAACCCTGTCGCCTCGCGGCAATGGTCTACAGCATGCTAGTTATATTCCCATTACCTGCAGCCAACCGGCCGTTCAAGCAGCTGGTAACACAACTTATTACTGCCCTGATCACCGTAGACGGCGATGAGGGAAGCGGCTGGGCGGCTGAATCCGGCCAGTGGCCGTGGGAGTATGAACGAGAAGGCAGCCAGGACCTGACCCCCGAGGAAGAGGAGCGGGTGTCGTGTCTATACTTGTGGATCATCGTGATGGGCGGAATAGCGTCTCGAGGCATGGGGGATAACAGCGAATGGTTTGCTGCCCGGTTCGAGCAGACACTGCAGATGAAGGGGATGTCGACGTGGGAAGAAGTGAAGCAGTGCCTGACCTCGATAATGTGGATGGACAGCGTCTGTGACTATGGCGGACTGGCTTTTTGGAGAGAGACTCGAGACGGCTTCTAGTTCCGTCTTCCTGTCTGTCCGCTCTCCTGTCTCTTTATACATGCTCTTTGACTGTCGATTTATGCCCATTTCTTGCGTATACCATAATGATTGGTGTTTTCTCGTCTTGGTGTCTTGGAGGTATCTGTCTATATAGGACTGGCGGTATATCTCTGCTTTTTTCCCCCCCTGATCTTCTCTTTTACCCTTCTCCTCTGCTTCGTCTATCATCCCCTCTTCCCCTTGCCTATCCATTCTATGTATACACAAATCTATCAACGTCCCTGCTGCCCCTGACCCTGACTATAGTTAGTCTGACAAGTCTTGCCACTGACACCTGTCACCCCCAGCCCCCTGCCAACTCTACTATCCTGCTCCGCCTTCCCACGCCTTCACTAACGTCATCACCTTCACCACTGTCAACATCAACATCAACATCACCATCAACATCTTCTTATTCTTCTTCTATCTCCCTCTCTAGTCTTTTCGACTTCTTTTCTTCCCCCTTTTTCTTCCTATAAAAAGCAACGTCGTGGGGGCCATGCTTAGTCATATGTAATGTCACGTTTACCATACGAGTGGGACCTTTGTGCAGCGTTGACCAACCAGATCTCAGTAAATCTCAGCTCGTAAGCAGAAAACGGCTTAGTCATCGCTGAAATCTCTTCTCTTTTTTTTTTTTTCGCCTTCAACTTTTTTTTTTCTTCATCTCAAAATCTTCAACTTCGACTTTTTCTTCTTCTTCTTTCTCATCTGCGTTTTTCTTTCTTCCTGGACTTCGTTGTGTTCTTTTTTTTTTTCCTTTTCTTTCTCTTTAGCTTGTTAAATAGAGAGGAAAGAGAGAAGAGAAAGAAGATATAAAACATCAGTGAGGCTTGACAGGCTGTTTTCCTGCTCTATTCTACCTTAATTACACCGCCTCCGGCCCCAGTGTTTTTCTCTCACAGCACAGAAAAACACACAACTGCAAAAAAGCACCGCCTCCCACCAGCATCCAGCAGCACACGCAGAGAAGAAAAAGACGAGAGCAACAGGATCAGAGAAAATCCTGTCCTTTCATCATATTCTGTGTTCTCGGCAGTGTGTCTTTTTGTTTTAGATAAAATCCCAGTTCTTTTTTTTTTGCCTTCATTTTATTTTTTTTGACTCCCGTAACGACCCATCTACGATCCCTCCAAACGCGCGCCAGTAATCAGTGACCTGCTACTTTCGAAGGATACCTTGAAGGATACTCGGTGAGTATTCCATCCGTCTCGTCTGTTCCGTGGTTTAGCTATTCCGTGTCAAGAGGCGCCTGGCTAACCGTCTGTCCTGGTGGCTGCGAGCAGTTAATATGGCTGATAACCTGAAAATCGGAAACCTCTCCCTCAACGACTCCCAGCACGCGCCAAACCAGACCGGACGCTCCGCCTACATTCCTCCGCACCTCCGTGGTCAGGCTCGTCAGGCTGCTGCCGCTGAGTCTGCCGCTGGTCCTACCGTCGACGGTCCTGACGGTCCTGCTCCCGGACAGAACGGCCGCCCTGCTGGCATGAACGCAAGCGCCTGGGCTCCAGGGTAGGTAGCCTTCAGACAAGACTCCAAACAAATGACTGAATTCCTGCTAACTCGAGGGAAGAAATAGAGCCCCGAATAACGCACCTGGGTGGGGTGCTGGAGACTACGGTCCTCGTGGCGGTCCGGCCGTGAATGGTAATTCTGGCTGGGGTCAACCCGCCGGCTCCCGTCGTACTTTCGATCCACATGCTTACGGTCACCCAGGCCATCAAGGTCAACAGGGCGGAAACTACGGCGGCGGCGGCGCTGCCAGAGGCTCTGGTGATGGCCAGTGGCGTGATGGAAAGCACATTCCCGGTCCTTCGAACGCTCGTCTCGAACGCGAACTCTTCGGCATCCCCAACGATCCCAGCAAGCAGCATACCGGTATCAACTTCGCCAACTACGATGATATCCCCGTCGAGGCTTCCGGCCAGAATGTCCCCGAGCCCGTCAGCACCTTCACCAACCCTCCTCTGGACGACCATTTGATCTCCAACATCAAACTCGCCTCCTACAAAGTGCCTACTCCGGTCCAGAAGTATTCCATCCCGATTGTCATGGGAGGCCGTGACTTGATGGCCTGTGCCCAGACTGGTTCCGGAAAGACTGGTGGTTTCTTGTTCCCAATCCTCTCTCAGGCATTCCAGAACGGACCCTCCCCGGCTCCCACTCAGCAAGGCGGTCAGTTCAGCTACGGCCGTCAGCGCAAGGCTTACCCTACCTCGCTCATCTTGGCTCCGACCCGTGAGCTTGTCTCTCAGATCTATGACGAGGCTAGGAAGTTTGCTTACCGATCCTGGGTTCGCCCTTGTGTTGTCTACGGAGGAGCTGATATCGGCTCCCAGCTTCGCCAGATTGAGCGTGGCTGTGACCTTCTCGTTGCCACTCCCGGCCGTCTTGTCGACCTGATTGAGCGTGGCCGCATCTCGCTCTGCAACATCAAGTACCTTGTCCTTGATGAGGCTGATCGCATGCTTGACATGGGTTTCGAGCCTCAAATCCGCCGCATTGTCGAAGGTGAAGACATGCCCCCAGTTGCTGGCCGTCAAACCCTCATGTTTTCGGCCACCTTCCCACGCGACATCCAGATGCTCGCCCGTGATTTCTTGAAGGACTACGTCTTCCTTTCCGTCGGCCGTGTCGGTTCCACCTCCGAGAACATCACCCAGAAGGTCGAGTATGTTGAGGACAACGATAAACGCTCCGTCCTGCTCGATATCCTGCACACTCACGGCGCTGGATTGACCCTCATTTTCGTCGAGACCAAGCGTATGGCTGATTCTCTGTCCGAATTCCTCATCAACCAGCACTTCCCAGCCACTGCTATTCACGGTGACCGCACTCAGCGTGAGCGTGAGCGTGCCCTTGAGTACTTCCGTAATGGCCGCTGCCCCATCCTGGTGGCTACCGCTGTTGCTGCCCGTGGACTCGACATTCCCAATGTCACCCATGTCGTCAACTATGATCTGCCCACCGACATTGACGACTATGTTCACCGTATCGGTCGTACCGGTCGTGCTGGAAACACCGGTATCTCTACTGCTTTCTTCAACCGTGGAAACCGCGGTGTTGTCCGTGACCTCATCGAGCTGCTCAAGGAGGCCCACCAGGAAGTCCCATCCTTCCTCGAGAACATTGCTCGTGAGGGCTCTGGATACGGTGGCCGTGGAGGTCGTGGCCGTGGCCGTGGCTCTGCCGGTGCCAATCGTGATATGCGTCGCATGGGTGGTGGAATGGGCGGTCCCCCTTCTTATGGCGGTGGTGGTAACTACGCTGCTCCCCAAAGCTACGGTGGCGGTGGCGGTAAGCATTCTCTCTCTCTTCGTCTTTGCTTAAATAACTAGTACTAATAGTGAGTACAGGAAACTATGGCGGCGGTCCATATGGCGGTGGCTATGGAGGTGGTGGCTACGGCAACCCATCCGGCCCAACTGGCCCATCTTCCTGGTGGTAAACTAATATCATTTATCGCTACCGTAGACGAAGCTAGCACTTGCTGACTTCCTTTACGACACCCGAACATTTTTTCTACTGATTACTTTCTTTTACTGTTTCAATTTCTCACGACTGAAAAGTGACGTTTCTGTTCTATCGAGAGGAACCAAAAAAAAAAAAAAAAAGGAGTGAAAAGGATCGGATATACCAAACACACCCCCAAGATAAGGAGAGGAGGGAGCGGCTTTTTGTTACGATCTGCTACGAATTTCTCTTCCCCTTTTTTACCTACCGAAATCTTTGATATCCCATCCTTTTTCGTTTCTTCTTAAATCTTCCCATCTTACCCATCTTCCCTTTGTTTTCAACTACTCAACCCGCATTGGCCTCTATAGCCGCCACAAACAAAAAAGAAACAAAAAAAACACAAAAAACACACCAAAATAATGCGGTTGTTATCGAGTTTTCCGTCTTTTGCACGCATCAACACCTCCACAGAGACGCTCAATGGTCTGTCTGACTCGAAAGATGGAACTGCCTTGTTTTCCTCTCTTCATCTTTTTCCTTGCTTCCTACAAACGTCAACGCAATGGGCCCAGGAGAGTCGTCTATCTCTCTATCGAGCCTTTGCTCTTCTCTGCATCGTCTTATCTTGTTCTCAATTTTTCGTTTTCCCTATTCTTTTCTTTCCTTGCCGTCGTCCTTCTTTTGTTTACCTCTTTCTCCGGCATACGAGGAAGAAAAAGGAAGAAGCAAAATAGGGGAAACCAAATACTACCACCAAAAATCGGGAATCGGGGAAATCGGAACTTGCATGAAGATCATATAGACCAGCGTTGATTGTGGAGTGTTTTTCTTATCATCTTTTTTTTTTTTTTCCTTTCATGTCTTCTCATGTTTCTTACGATGCTCTCTGCTTTTCTTGATGGGTTTTTTTGTTTCTGCTTCTGCTTCTGTCTACGGCTTGTCTATGAGATACCCCCCAAAAAAAAACCACCCACCCCTTTCTACCCTTCATCGACCTCCCTTCTACTCCTCTTCATCTCTCGGTCATGATGTCCCTTATTTCTTTTCCTTTTATTTCTTTCGTGTCTTTATCACAAGCCTGGCTCGACGACGGTGATGTTTCTTTCATACACGCCATTGTTGTCCCCCAGCCGGGAGCAGAAGTACGAAGCTATCAATCTTCTTTTCATGTCTCTTCCATATTCATGTCGCATTTCCCACACTTCTAGAGACGATAGAGAGGGAAACGGAACGGAAAAGGGAGAAGAAAAACGCTTCTACATCTTCATCATAGACGGGAGGGTTTTTTTCTTTTCGTCCTTTTTCCTGGTTGTACTATTTTCATCCATGGCCGGCTATTGCGTTGACTGGCCGGTTGTCTTCCTCTCTCGTGAGGTGGGATCGGATGAGATGGAATAGAAAAATAGCAGCAGATTCATATTCATTTCCTGTTTTCTCCGAGTAATTAATTGCATTGTATATCTGTCGGCTCTTGTAGATACATATATGGATATGTAAATTGGTAGGATGCGTACAGCAAAGTGAGCAGCGACTTTCTGCGTTTCAGACACACTCGCCCCCGTCATACAGATATTTTCCTCTCTTTTTCCCCCATTTTTCTGTGCAAAAATAGCTTCGTCGACAGCCTCCCTGGGACGAGCCGGGAAAAGGAGCTCTGGGGCAGCGCAGGTTGGCGCCGATGCCAGAGGTGTGCAGCAGTACTCAACTCCACGCGTAAATTTGCTGGGCGTCCAAGTCACTCGCCATCGCCCGCAAAACACCAAAAAAGCCAGCCAACCTCCTGACATCCGCTCGCTTCTTCGCTAACAAAACTTCCGGCGCGCACCTATTTTTTTCACTTCTATTTCTTCGCCGTCACTCTTCCATTCTCTGCTTCTACAGCTTTCATCGCCGTCTCCCGCACCCTCGGCTCGACTGACTCGGCGCAGACTCAAAAATGATCAGCTCTGCTTCCTGGTCTCGAGTCGTCTAGTCAAGTTTCGCCAGCTCTTCAGGCTCGCCTGCTCACTCGACCCGCAGCGTTTCTTCTTCTGCTTTCAATCTAGGCCGAGCTGAAAAAGAATCTACGCTGAGCCTGTCCGCCTGTAACGACTATGGCGAGTACCAATCCGCCGTCTCGCCAGGGTAGCCCGGCTGCAGCTCCTGTCCCGGCGCCGGCTGCTGCAGCACCAGCTCAACCTCGCCCTTCAGCGTCCCCTTCCCCAGCCCCGGAACAAGCAGCAGCAGCAGCATCAGACGGAGAGTCGCGAGCAGAGGCTCAGGCCACGTCAAAACCGGACACACAGGCACAGGCTGAGGAGCCGTCCACCGCGATAATGGAAGCGGGAACGGGTGCTGGCGATTCGCCGGACGATAGAGGCGCGTTCGAACCTGAAAAGGAGACTCATTTCGACAAGCCTGACGGAGGCTACTATGCGGGCTCGAGGAAGGATTTCCCGCTTCCTGCGTGTCGATACCCGTTGCCCAGAACGAGTGTGAAGCGTCTTTCGGAGCCCGAGCCAGGCACAAAAGGTGGCAGACAGAGACATTATACGGATGACCCCAACTACCCCCTTCAGGGCTTCTGGACAGAGGCCGGTACATGGGAGGACTGGCCACCGAAGGGCAGTTCTTCTGATCCGGAAGAAAAGGAAAAAGAGGAAAAGGAAAAGGAGAAGGAAAAGGAACAGGATGGCCATGATAAACCAAAGGAGGCAGATAATGCACGGGGCCAGCCAAACGGCAAGGAGAAGGAGAAGGAGAAGGAGAGAGAGAAGGGGAAGAAGGACAAATCTTCTGAGTCGAAGCCTACGAAAGGTGAAAGCACATCTGCTGAGAAGCGAGATGCTAAGCCAGATGCTCATACGTCGTCCGCGACTTCTGCGCCTGCTAGTAGCCGTCGACAGACAAACGGGACCATTGGCAGTGTCTACTCTGGCAACAAGATTCGCCATCTCAAGAAAGATGATGGTATTCCGCTTTGGCGCAAGGATATCCAGCATCTCTTCCTGCGCTTGGTCTTTGAAGATACTACGCCCGTGTTCACTCGACATTCAGACGGGAAGAGCGGACTGAGCTTTGCGGATATCTATATCGATGCCATGGCAAAGAGCAGCAAGACCAGCAAGGTGCTAAAGGATAAGCTGACCACCGATAAGCCTGCCGCAATCAACATGGCTATGGTCTGTCTGCTGGTTAACTTTGGGCGAATGAATACTACTCTTAACTGTGAGTACTCACATGTATACCATACTAAACTTCTAAGCCAGCGCTAACATCATGATAGTTTTCCCTGAAATGCGTGCCCAGCTGCGAACATATCACTCAATCCCTTCTTTACAAGCCCACCAGGACTCCAGTGCGTACAAACAGCTTCAAGATGCACCACGGCTTAAATCTATATTGAAGGGTGCATCAGAAGATGTCGAACAACCAAACACCCTTGACAAACTACGGGAGACGCCCGTTCCGCGGACTAACCCCGTCAACCTCATCTTTGTCCTGGCTCAGTATGCTCCTAAAGTATCAGAGATTCATTTCCACTCTCCCCATGACTTCTTCGACCTCGTCATGCGAGCTACCCTGAGCAGCAAGAGTCGAGCCAAGGCATTCCTCTGGCTGATGTGGTTTTACCTGGAGAGTGACTTTTCTGACGAAGCTGCTTTGAAGAACCCCTTTGGGCCTGGAACTGTTGGAGAGGGAGCAGATGGCTCACCGTTGAAGATTCCTCAGCTAGAAGATTTGACGGAGGAAGAGGCTGATGCAGAGAATGTTGATACCCAAGATGAAATCCTATATGGAGAGGAAAAGCAAAAGGAACGCAAAAGTATGTATTTCGCTACTTTATGGTAAACGGATGACACACGATATTAATTGGTGCATAGGAATCCTCGATGATGACGAGGTTGTCTCTCGAAACAAGCGAGTGAAAAAGGGTGAGTTATACTTTTGCTCTCCTAGCGCTCTATAACAGTGCTAAGATATTGTAGATAATACTATGAGCGACGACCAGATGTCGGGTGATATCCCTATGAGCGGTACTCCTGGCGGTAAGTGTATACCGTTCTAATGTGTATTCCAACAATCGCATCAAGGCTGACTCTAGTTCCAGGCCGAGACAAACAATCAACTTTCTTCACCCCTCTTAACCAGAGTAGACGCCCGGGGGATGACGATGATGACGAGCTGCTTACTCCCGTCCAGAGTCTGAGGTCACGGAATAAACGCAAACGAGATTCGTCAACTACTCGTTCAGGCAATGCTGGGCGGACGCGGGTTGTGCTAAAGACAAAGATGGATCAGGCCGGAGACGGGTTATCGCCAGCACCTCCTGGCTCAGGTCATCCGGTCCTCCACCAGTTTGCTCCCGGTTCCCCTGCTCCAGGACAGACATCTTCATCTTCCCGTCGACCTCGACCGCTGACCCAACACCAACTGGCCATCGAGCAAAACCGCCGGCAGCGAGTGGACTATATTCTTGCACAACGCCGTGCAGAAGAATATAGTAAAGCTCGCGAACGTAGGGAGCAAGGATCCCAACTTTTACATGCCGGCCAGCTGCTTCAGTGTCTACCGGTGGATTATGACACCGATGACGACCATTCATGGGGCAAAGGTGGCCTATGTTTGAACCCGGATGCGCAACAGGAAGATTTTGGAGAGGCAGGCAGCTTCTATTTCTCGGTATTGAAGAAGGTAGCTCGCCGCCTACATCGATGGGATTGGCAATCCATCGCTACAGAGGACAAGGACATTGGACCCAATGGATTGATGCATGAACATGCTCTCGATCTAGGAGATGCAAACGCCAACGGCGGCATGGGTGACGAAGAAGAGGTTGAACCATCCGGTCCTCCGACCTCGAGCCGATCCAGAGGAGGCAGAAGAGACCGGAGATCAAACGCCAATAATGCAGATAAGCTATCTACCCCGGATCCAAACCGACTGGCTGCTCCCCCATCGACCGGCAAGAGACAGTACATTCGCCGCAAGCCGTTACCAGAGCGCAAACCAGGTGACCCACCCAAGAGAGTTCGCCCAAGCAGATCGAAGGCAGCTCTTGCAGCAAAAGCTGCTGCAAAAGCTGAGGCAGAAGCACAAAAGGCTCTAGCGCTCAAGCAGGATGCCAATGCAACTGGTACGAGTGTTGCTGGATCTGAATTGGGACTACCCAGCTCACCGGGCAGGGACGTACGCATGAAAGAAGCCGGGGACAATGAGAATGAGAACGAGAATGACAATGAGCAAGAACAGGAGCAAGAACAAGAACAAGAACAAGAACAAGAGCAGGAGCAGGAGCCAGAGCAGGACCAAGATCCCGATCAAGATCCCGATGACGAGGGACTAGACGATATCGACAAGGACATTATAGGCGATGCCAGTGCCTACGGAGATGACGGCGATGAAGATGACGCGGAAGGCGAATCTCGACTCTCCGTGTCTCCTCTTCCAGACGCTGACGCCGATGCCGACGCCGATGCAGACCCAGACCAGGAACCAGGCTCTGAAGTTGTGGCCGCCCCATCCGTCATACCTGATGATGCTTCTGTTGCTGCTATGGCCGACGACAAGACCCTCCCTGCCTCCATCAACGGCCATGATGATGAACATGAACACCTTGGCTCGGACGACTCAACAGAGGAGGACGTCACTGCTACGGCTCTAGCTGCCGCTGACTCGCCAGACACCATCAGCTATACGGAAGAGCCTGGCCACGGACCTGATCAGGAGCAGAACATAGATGAGGATGGGGACGAGATTATGACCCAGGACTAGACGCGGAACCTGGACGTTTAACACGGTACTTTCTTGGAATCCGCACCTGGGATCAGACTGAGAGGTCTGGTCCTCTCCATTATTACCACGCTTTCTACCTTTTGTCCTATTTTCTTCTATTTCTGACCCGGGGTTCGGAGGGCGACTGTACATTTATATTTATTTCTGTGGTATTATAGGGAGGGAGCAGGGAGAGGTGAACAGGCTTATGGGCATATCCAGAGTTCTTTCTTGCCCACTGACTTTTGTCAAGGAGTTAGTTGATGTATCTACCTACCAATGTATAACTCAAGATGTATACTATCTGGTCCCAGAAAATGTTCATCCATGATCCTATCCAGGGGTACCAGCAGGGCCTCTTGTATCATCCCCCGCAGCCAACCCCCCGTCTCTGGTCTCTCTGTGCGACGTTGTACATCGTCTTAAAGGGCAGTATAGTATCATGGATGTATAGCTCACCCCCCTTATCCCCGGAGACGAAAGAGACCTGCTGATGAGGTATTCGCCTGTTGCCCCCGAGGCCACGGCATGACCAGCCTGCCATCCAACGACCTGCAGCCACTTCAGCTCCTCCAGTGGCAACTATCTTCACGCCTTGCTCGGTGTTTTTTCATACTTTTATACAGCGAAAGTTCAAGCAGTCTCTTTTGGTGGCGCCAGAAAAAGGAGTAAAACATGTGACATCGGCAAATCCAGCTTTTCTTCTTTGGAAGCCAAAAAAATAAAAAAAAGCAACGAGAGGAAATAAAAACATCGGCGCAGGCAGCACACAAGCTGGTGTCTTCTTCTCTTCCCCAGCTATCTTTAGCTTCTTCTGCTCCTCCAGCTCCCTGTAGTATTCTCTTACACTCAGTCTTTTTGCTGCTGTCTCACGGTACGTTGTCCTGTTAACTTGGTTGACTATGCTGGTGATCGGCTCCCTTGCCCCTGGGCCGCACATGACTATAAAACTGCGGATACGGGGAACTCCTTCGTTGAGCCGTTGAGACGTTTGCCGCCCCCAGCTCACATTGACTCAGTTGTTGTTTCTCTCAGAGGGCCATAAAAGGAGGCTGTTGAGCTGCAGCTAACGTGTTTCTTGACAGAGCTGACACTGAACGAAACCGGGTTATAATGGAAAGCGAAGGTCGAGTGCTGCGGCCGCGGGCGAGAAAGCCCTTTGAGCTCCCCTCGGCTGATTCCACGGCTCCCCCGACTCCGGCGCCAGAAGATGCAAACAAGGAGATGTTTCCAGGCAATAGTAATGGCAACGATACCGGTAACGGCAGCTTGACTGCTACTATGGACAAGGAGGGACTGGCGCAGTCCAGCCGAACAAAGTCAGATATCAACTTGACCTCCTCTACACTGCTGGGAATCTACTCGCCTACTGCGTTTGACGGCGGCCGAGAAGATAGAGACATCCCCGGGACAACGCCGTGGGGAACAGGTGCGCAGACTCCTAATCTACGAGGGTCAGGCATATTTGAGAACGGCAATGGTGCAAAGGCAAGCGGAAACGGTGCTGTGAACAGATTTTCCGAAGAGCAGAGGAAAAGGAAGCTTCACAAGCAGGAGCAAGACCGACAACGGCAGAATGAAGTGCGTCGTAGGCAGCGCGGGCTTGTCCGTGGTTATTTGCTGCCTGCCTTGCAACAGAGCGGACTGTTGTTCCTGTTCGGTGTGACATTTGGTGTCATTATTATGCATCTACACGATAGTCCGCAGATGGCGGACCTGTTGCCGCTGCACATCCCCGTGCGAGTGGAAATCATCAACTTTGGCCTAGAGTGGTGGCATTACCTAGTGTTCTGGGGAGTGGCCGGTGTTGCACTGGGTAACCTGCTACCTTGGTTCGATCTTATGTGGGAAGACTTTATGGGAGAGAACCCCGTCAAGGGAAGTAGTGAAGCTGGCTGGAACCCAATGGTGCGCAGCATCGGTGCCTTTGTGGGAGTTGCCTTCGCCATTGTAAGATTTTATCCCCCACGCCCGTGAGAGAATATAGCCCCCCGAACTAACATGTGTATGCTTGTGTCTAGCGAAAACTACCATGGCAGTCATCGACTCAGGTCTGTTTGACACTTGCGCTTGTGAACCCGTTCCTCTGGTACCTTATCGACCGCTCCAAGTCTGGCTTCGTCCTCTCTACGGCTATCGGACTGACAGGCATGATGGCCCTACTGGAGATGAACCCCGACATAATATTTTCCCCCAGCAACGCCGCCGATGCCGTAGATGAGACCGTATTCGGAATAGCCGGCCTGACCCTCACACAAGGCCAGCTCGCAGTCGGAACATGGATTGCCAGCGTTCTCTTCTGCAGCTGTGTTTGCTTCGGCAACATTGGGCGCAAACTCGCATAGTGAGAGACGATGATTGTCTCGCTTTACTTCCGTTTCGAACACAGCAACAACGAAACGACCTTCTGGCTTTTTTCAAGGAAAATAAAGGAAGCGCATGACGTTAATGGATACCCTCTTGTTTAGCAATGATTTCTTCTCTCTCTCTCCCTTTCTCTCTCTTTTTCTACTCAGGACATGGCTTGTATGGAAACGGAAATGAAGTGCTGAAACGGCCGGTTAATTGTATAAACAAGGTAGAATTGATATGTAATTTTGTAATAAATAACCCCCGCAATCTCCTCACTCTTGATCATGTCAAACAGCTTGCTCGTAAAGGGCCCGAAACTGTAGGTTCAATCATTGCAATCCCATCCATGAGGCGGATGACACTGCACCCAAGACCGAATCTTGCTTCCTTCTCCATTCCCAAGAAACATAGGTCATGTAACTTGAACGTCCTGGCATCATTAATCCCCGAAAGAACTTTTGCAGAACATTTTGACGGAATGTGATTTATTTGCGTTGTTCATGGAGAGGAAAAGAAGAGAAGAAAAGAAGAAGAAAAAGTCGAAGTCGAGATTTTATGCAAAAACTTGGTCACGTGATAAATACTGCTTTTAGTGTGGAAAATGGAGATAGCAGGAAGTCTTAGTCCTTCATAGATGTTACGTATACCTAATGCCTAATGGTATGTTCGAGGTTGAAGTTGATGCTGCTATATTTATAATTATTGACTTGTCCGTGCTCAATTGCAGTCGATTACTATACCATAAGCTGTAGCTACTATTTAACTAAAGCTGCAGGCGTTGCAGTAGATCTGAACTTTTTCTGTATCTTCATTGATTGATACACTAATTAATTAAACTAGCTACATGTTTATTCGAGTGCAAAGGGCGAGTTTAATAGGCTAATTTAAGAAAATTAAGGCCAGAACATCGGATATCACTCTGCTACCTCTCTGTTTCGTGGTAATCAACTAGTTATCAACACTGATCAAGCCGACTCAGCCCCAGCTTTTCTCTTACTTCAGCCTCACCACCACTACCACCACCACCACTACTACTTCTCATTACCCACCTTTGTTATTCTCACCTCATTCCCTCTGCCAAACTCCTTCACTATCATCACATCTTCGTCTTCACTATCAATTTCACTCCAAGCTTCAGCTTCACTGCCTGCTTACTAAAACATCACGTGACTGCTCCTGAAAAGGCAAGGTTGTTTATTCACATCGACTTCTCGACCTTCTCCTTTGACTTCCTCTTTGCCTCTCAATCAACCGCTTGCGATCCTCAGACACAAACATCCTCCCTGCTAGAGCTCTCTCTTCTCCTCGCCTCTCTTTGCTTCCACCCCTACCTTTCTCTCCTTCAGCCTGCCCTTTTTCATTCCCTCTCACTCTCTCTCCTTTTTCTCCCCTACTTCTTCGGCATAGCTGGCGCTCCGGGTTTGGTTGGATGAGGTCGTTGCCTTGACGGCCATTACGAAATCATGGCTCCTCTTCCCATTCAGTTTACGGAGCTTTTACAGGTATGATGGCCTCGGGAGTGCTTCTAGAACTGCGCCTTGTCTGCCTGGAGCTTTTGATCCCTTACTGACACGTTGCCGTAGTTAACGAACGTTGATATTGTGGTACGCAATCACCCTCTCCACACGAGCAAGCCTTCTCCCCATTCCTCGCCCCAGCCAATCGATATGGCCCCTACGGCCTGCTATCTTGATATTTCATCGGATACTGCATCTTTTGGGCTCATGTTGATGGGCATTGTGGTTGTTGGAATGTGGGGAGTAGGGCTTCGTGGCTGTGCATGATAGCTAATTACAGCTTGCTTCATCATCTTTATCTGTAGCCTGCATCTATCGGCTTTAATTCATGTGTAAGTATTCTCCAGTGACCTCCGTTCCGCTTCCGCAGTTGCTAATCAGCTCCCTTTTTTGCAAATCGTTTAGACTTTAGAATCCGATAGTTTCGTCTGCATACGACAAAAGGTCAACGATGAAGATAAGACACAAGTTATCATAGTCAATCTTAAAAACAACAATGAAGTCATCCGGCGCCCGATTAATGCCGATAGTGCAATCATGCACTGGAACAAGAACATTATCGCGCTTAAGGCCCAGGGCAAGACCATCCAGGTCTTTGACCTCCAGGCAAAGCAGAAGCTCAAGTCGGCAGTCATGACTGAAGATGTTGTCTTCTGGAAGTGGTACAGTGAGACAAGCATTGGCTTGATCACTGAGTCCTCGGTTTACCACTGGAACGTCTTTGACCCGACTCAGCATGCTCCTCTTAAGATGTTCGACCGGATTGCAAATCTCGCGGTGCGTTTTACTTATTTCGTATCCTTTTTTAATATCGTCATCTTGTTTTTCACTATAATCAAAAAGAGGAAATGCAACTAATCAAGTGGATAGAGCTGCCAAATTATTAGCTATCGTGTTAATGAGGAGGAAAAGTGGATGGTGGTTGTTGGTATCAGTCAACAGCAAGGACGGATAGTAGGAACAATGCAGCTCCATTCGGTTGAACGAGGCATATCTCAACACATCGAAGGCCATGCCGCCGCCTTTGCTACCATCAAGGTCGACGGATCACCCTTACCTCATAAACTCTTCACCTTCGCTGTCAGAACCGCAACCGGTGCCAAACTTCAGATTGCAGAGATCGATCACCAGGAGCCCAACCCTAAGTTCCAGAAGAAGGCTGTTGAGGTTTACTTCCCACAAGAGGCTACCAATGACTTCCCAGTTGCCATGCAGGTTTCTGAGAAATACGATGTTGTCTATCTTATCACCAAGTTCGGCTTCATCCACCTCTATGACCTCGAGACTGGTACATGCATCTTCATGAACCGCATTTCCAGCGAAACCATCTTCGTTACCACACCAAACTCAGATTCTACTGGTATTGTCGGTGTCAACCGTAAGGGTCAGGTCCTCTCTGTCAGTGTGGACGAAGGCACCATCATTCCATATCTCCTTGAAAACCCAGCAAACACATCTCTGGCTGTCAAGCTTGCATCCAAGGCTGGCCTTCCGGGTGCAGATAATCTTCTTCAGAGACAGTTTGAACAGCTCCTATCTCAAGGAAACTATGCAGAGGCTGCCAAAATCGCCGCCAATTCGCCCCGTGGGTTCCTGCGAACTGCAGACACTATCAACCGCCTAAAGGCTGTATCACAGTCAGGTCAGGGCATGTCTGTCATCCTCCAATATTTCGGAATGCTTCTTGACAAGGGATCTCTAAACGTATACGAGAGTGTTGAATTGACTAGACCTGTCTTGCAGCAAAACCGAAAACATCTCCTTGAGAAGTGGCTCGGCGAGGATAAGCTGAAATGCTCCGAGGAGCTAGGTGACATCGTTCGGCCACACGACATGAACATTGCTTTGAACATCTACCTCAAGGCCAATGTTCCCCACAAGGTCGTTGCTGGCTTCGCAGAGACTGGTCAATTCGACAAGATCCTGGCTTACTCCAAGCAAGTCGGCTATCAACCTGACTATGTCCAGCTTCTACAGCATATTGTCCGAGTTAACCCAGAGAAGTGTGCAGAGTTTGCTGGTCAGCTTGCCAACGATGACAGCGGTGCCCTCGTTGATCTTGACCGTGTTGTCGATGTTTTCGTCTCTCAGAACATGATCCAGCAAGCTACTGCATTCTTGTTGGATGCTCTCAAGGACAACAAGCCTGAGCATGCTAAGCTTCAGACTAGGCTGCTAGAGATGAACCTTGTCAACGCTCCTCAGGTCGCCGATGCTATCCTGGGTAACGAGATGTTCACCCACTACGACAAGGCTAGGATCTCACAACTCTGCGAGAACGCAGGTCTCTATCAGCGTGCGCTCGAGAACACTGATGATTCCACAGTCATCATGCGCAACATTGTCCGCACGGACAAACTGAACCCCGAATGGTTGATAGAATTCTTTGGCCGCCTTTCAGTGGAACAGTCCCTGGAATGTATGAACGAGATGCTTCACTCAAACCTCCGTCAAAATCTTCAAGCTGTTGTTCAAATCGCTACCAAATTCTCTGACCTTTTGGGGCCTACCAACCTCATCCAATTGCTTGAGAAATACCGAACTGCCGAGGGTCTCTACTACTACCTTGGCAGCATCGTCAACCTTAGTGAGGATGCCGATGTTCACTTTAAGTATATAGAGGCCGCTACTCGCATGGGCCAGATGACCGAAGTCGAGCGTATTTGCCGCGACAGCAACTACTACAATCCTGAGAAGGTCAAGAATTTCCTCAAGGAGGCCAAGCTTGCTGAACAACTTCCTTTGATTACTGTTTGCGATCGATTCAACTTTGTCCACGATCTAGTTCTGTACCTCTACCAGAACCAGCAGTATTCTTCGATCGAGGTTTACGTTCAAAGGGTCAACCCATCAAGGACTCCCGCTGTTGTCGGTGGCCTGCTTGACGTGGACTGTGATGAGTCTATTATCAAGAACCTTCTCACTACTGTTGACCCAGCTTCTATCCCAATTGATGAGCTTGTCGCCGAGGTAGAGAAGAGAAACAGACTCAAGATTCTTTTGCCATTCCTAGAGAACACTCTCAGCACCGGTAACCAACAGCAAGCAGTCTACAATGCCTTGGCCAAGATATACATTGACAGCAATAACAACCCCGAGAAGTTCCTCAAGGAGAACGACCTCTATGATACTCTAACTGTCGGAAAGTACTGTGAGAAGCGAGACCCTAATCTTGCATATATTGCATACCGCAAGGGCCAGAATGATCTTGAGCTTATCAACATCACCAACGACAACTCGATGTATCGTGCTCAAGCTAGGTATCTGCTTGAGCGAGCTGATAGTGAAATTTGGGCCTTTGTTTTGAACGGAAACAACATTCACAGACGGTCCCTTGTTGACCAGGTTATTGCCACTGCCGTCCCAGAGTCTTCTGAACCAGACAAGGTGTCGGTAGCAGTCAAGGCCTTCCTTGAAGCAGACCTGCCGACGGAGCTCATCGAGTTACTGGAGAAGATCATCCTGGAGCCATCTCCCTTCAGTGATAACAGCAGCTTGCAGAACTTGCTGATGCTCACCGCTGCCAAGGCCGATAAGAGCAAGCTGATGGACTACATCCACAAGCTTACAGAATTCAATGCTGATGAGATTGCGGGAATGTGTCTGTCTGTTGGCCTGTACGAAGAAGCCTTCGAAATTTACAAGAAGGTTGAGAACCATCCTGCTGCCACCAATGTTCTTGTGGAACACATTGTCAGCATCGACCGTGCTCAGGACTATGCTGAGCGTGTTGAACTTCCCGAAGTATGGAGCAAGGTCGCCAAAGCTCAATTGGATGGCCTTCGCATCTCCGATTCTATCGCTTCATACATTCGTGCCGGAGACCCTTCGAACTACAATGAAGTTATCGAAACCGCTACCCATGCTGGCAAGGATGAGGACCTCATTGAATATCTTAAGATGGCCCGCAAGACTCTTCGAGAGCCTGCTGTCGATACTGCCATGGCCTTCAGTTTTGCTAGACTCGACAAGCTCTCCGAGCTTGACGATTTCCTCCGTGGAATCAATGTTGCCGATGTTGAAGCTTCCGGTGACAAGGCCTATGCCGAGGGATACCACCAAGCTGCAAAGATATTCTTCACCAGCATCTCCAACTGGGCAAAACTTGCAACCACACTTGTCCATCTCGAGGACTACCAAGCTGCTGTTGAGTGTGCTCGCAAGGGTAACAGCGTCAAGGTCTGGAAGGAGGTTAACGCAGCCTGCGTTGCCAAGAAAGAATTCCGCCTTGCTCAGATTTGCGGCTTGAACTTGATCGTGCATGCTGAGGAGCTACAAGACCTGGTCCGCCAGTATGAGCGTAATGGCTACTTCGACGAGCTCATTGCTCTGCTTGAGGCCGGTCTTGGTCTTGAGAGAGCCCACATGGGTATGTTCACTGAGCTAGGAATTGCCCTGTCGAAGTACCATCCAGACCGTGTGATGGAGCATCTCAAGTTGTTCTGGACTCGAATCAACATCCCCAAGATGATTCGCGCGTGCGAGGAAGCCAACCTATGGCCCGAGCTGGTTTTCCTTTACTGCCACTACGACGAATGGGATAACGCGGCGCTAGCAATGATGGAGCGAGCAGCCGATTCGTGGGAACATCACTCTTTCAAGGATATTGTTGTTAAGGTTGCCAACCTGGAGATCTACTACCGTGCCCTGAACTTTTATCTGCAAGAACAACCCCTGCTGCTGACGGACCTACTCCAAGTCCTTACTCCCCGCATCGACGTCAACCGGGTTGTTCGCATGTTTGAGAAGTCGGACAACATCCCCTTGATCAAGCCCTTCCTTCTCAATGTACAGCCGCAGAACAAGCGTGCGGTCAATAATGCCATTAACGACCTGTTAATTGAAGAAGAAGACCACAAGACTCTGCGAGACTCGGTTGAGAACCATGACAACTACGATCCCGTCGACCTGGCGCAGAGGCTGGAGAAACACGAGCTTGTATTCTTCCGCCAGATTGCAGCCAACATCTACCGCAAGAACAAGCGATGGGAGAAGTCCATCGCCCTCTCGAAGCAGGACAAGCTGTTCAAAGATGCTATCGAGACCGCTGCGATCTCTGGCAAGCCCGAGGTTGTCGAGGAGCTGTTGCGCTACGTAAGTACCTTGCCATGTGTTATGTTGTTTGGATTTCGCACAATGTTGCTAACAAGTGATGATATGGTAGTTCGTCGACATTGGCAGCCGTGAATGCTACGTGGGCATGCTATACGCCTGCTACGAGCTCATCCGCCCTGATGTGGTATTGGAGATGTCGTGGCGCCATGGCCTCCACGATTTCACGATGCCTTACATGATCAACATGCTGAGCCAGCAAGTGCAGACCATTGAGATGTTGAAGAAGGACAATGAGGAGCGCAAGGCGAAGGAAGCCTCTCAGCAGAAGGAAGAGGACAACACGCCCATCCTCGGAGGCTCGAGACTGATGCTGACGCAAGGTCCCAGCGGGTCAATGGGAGGGGGTGCGCCGTCGATGTTTGGACAGCAGACCAACGGCATAACCCCCCAGCCAACCGGCTTCCGGCCATTTTAAGGACAAACATGCTAGAAAGAAAGAAAGAGAAAGACTAGATAAGACGACGGGATGAGGATGATGAAGAAAAATAAAAATAACACCATACGAGGTCTCCGTGATTATGAATGAAATCATCAACACAGGAAGAAGAGAGAAAAGAAATGAGAATGAACGAAACCGGGGCCAGATATGGTGGCTTTTTGTTATCAGTTATGCCTTATCGGAAACTCGGGTGGTTTCTGTTGATATCCCACTTCCGCCTTCCCCCCCTTTTTTTACTACACATTTTCTTTTTTCCATTTTTTCATTATTTCCGTCTGGGACTGCGAGCGGTGGGAAAGCATGGAGGATGGAGGAGAATAGAGGAGAAGCCTTTTTCTTTTTCTTTTCTCTTCTATTTCTTTTGTTATGTTTCTTCTGCTGTCCCTTTATTTTCCTCCAGCAAAGCCTTAAAAAAAACAAAACCACATAAACTAATAATGTACCCTCACCCCCCTTGTCCGGCATCGGCTTCGGCACCGGCTTCCGGCTCCTACTCGTTTTACCTGTTGTTACTTACTCTCTGCACCTGTGCTGTCATGTCCTTTTTCTCCTTCATCATGTGTATTTGATACGAGATATTTTGTTTTCTTTTCCTCTTTTTTTCTTCATAATACGCCATCACCCTAGCTGTAAATCGGACGTGCTTGTACTTCGGCAAATAAGGTCAACCTCCAGTCCCTCTCGGCACGGATACATGAGTGGCTTCGTAAAGGACAGCAAATAGGCCGGCGATTCCCCCAGCCGGCATGCAAGATCCAAACTGACCGTGTGATGGGAGATCTCGACATAAAAAGGTAGCACAACTCAACAGAAGTAAACAAACATCCTGTTTCCGCAGCCAGTCGGAGCGTCCCCAACACGCAGGCCGTCAGCCATCTGCACGGTCTAAGAACATAAGTATTTACAAGTCGTGCTGCATTTTTTTTATTTTTTGGTTACTCCTCTGTGCTTCTTCCCCTGGAGCTCCCCCCAACGCTAGCCAGCCAGCCCATCTTTTCCTTGACCAAACTGGTTTATCCTCGGCTAAACGAGATATTCAATCAGGAGGTAACTAAATAAGAAAAGAAAATTAACGTCTGGATGAGAAAAGCCGGAAAAAGAAAGGAAGGACATGAGAAAGCTTCTCTCTATCCTCATGTACTTCTCTCTCTGCTCAACCACTCTAACTACAACAGACTGGCTCTCAAGTGTATATTTGCTCGGCTAGACGCTCAGCTTACGGATGGGGGTAAACTAAAGTAAAATGGCTCATGGGCGGCCAATTAGTCAAAGAAAAGAAGCCGGTGGAAGGCTGGTCCATGTCGACGGGCCCTGGAGACAGCCAGATGATGTCTCTTTTCTTTTTCCGCCGTCTCTGCTGCTGCTCCATCGTCGTCGAGTCTTGTCGTCGTCGTCTTGGTTTCAGGCGGTTCTTGCTTGGTGGAGAGAATCCGAGGAGCATGGGTGGCTTTCCGACGGGGAATTGCCGTGTAGCCAGAGTGCCGTCAGACTCACTCACTCACTCACTGCTGCAGAGTCAACGGTACATAGCATGCCGTCCTGGCCATCACCTCGTCTCATCCTCTCAATCTCACTCTATCTTCTTCTTCTCTTCTTCTTCTCTTCTTCTTCATCTTCTTCTTCGTCGTCGTCGTCGTCGTCGTCGTCGTCTTGCTGTCTACTTGGCTGTCGCTTAGTAAAACCCAGCAGGTCATGTGGGGAGCGGCCACGTGAGCGGAGAATAATTAACGCGAGCCTCCGCGGACGAACCAACCAGAAAAAAGAAAAAAAGCGACGGAAAAAGCAAATAAGAAAGCAGGAAAAAAAAAAAAAAAAAAAAAAGAAGACGAAGCAGCCAAACCTTGCGGGGCAAGTTTAAAATAAAAGGCGCGACGAACTTCCGCTGCGACGCTTCGGACGGCCAACAACATCCCAACATCGCCAGCTTCGCCCTCGTCCTCCTTGCCGCTCGCTCAAAGAGGTGACGGTCGTCTTCAGGTACGTCTGCTGGCCATGTTCGACGGGCTGCCGCAGCGACGTGGTGGCCGTCAATGGCTGTGAACATGTTCGCCCGCTGCTCGCTCTGCCCCACTGCGGTCTGCTCCAGGGCCCCTCCGCCAGGCCGATGCCGCGGCTTCACGCTCTCTCTATAAGAAGGGATGAGCCGGGCATACAGAGAGGACGACGGAGATCATATCGATGCTGACTGTTGTTTTTTTTTCTTTAGAAAAACCATCTTATATCGAACCGAACAGGCAAGAAGACAAACAAGCTACACCGAAGAATCGGAGAGTATCTATATAGATAGCGGCGTGATATCAGGACCGTCATCTTCGTCCTCTGACACCTGATACCCCCGTTGATACACATCTATATACATACATACATATATTCTCTATACAAACATGGCTCCAGCACCCGTGCCTCTGCCAGACGTCAATAGTACGGCTGTCCGCGAGGACGCCGTCGAGGAAGATGTCATGGAAGACCACCACCCGTCCAACTTCCAGGACTCTGTCCACAGCCGTCTACGGGCCAATTCCTCCATCATGCAGTTCCAGAAGATCCTCGTCGCCAACAGAGGAGAAATCCCCATCCGTATCTTCCGTACAGCCCACGAACTCTCCCTACAGACTGTTGCTATCTTCAGCTACGAGGACAGGCTGAGCATGCATCGCCAAAAGGCCGACGAGGCGTATCAGATCGGTAAGCGTGGCCAGTACACGCCCGTGGCTGCCTACCTGGCCGGCCATGAGATTGTCAACATTGCCTCGCAGCACGGCGTCCACCTCATTCACCCGGGATACGGCTTCTTGTCCGAGAATGCCGAGTTTGCTCGTGCTGTCGAGAAGGCCGGCATGGTCTTCGTCGGTCCTACTCCAGAGACTATCGATAGACTCGGTGATAAGGTCTCTGCTCGAAAAATCGCCATAGAGTGCAAGGTCCCCGTCGTGCCCGGTACCCCCGGCCCGGTCGAGACCTTCGATGCTGTCAAGTCATTCACGGATGAGTACGGCTTCCCCATAATCATCAAGGCTGCCTTTGGTGGTGGTGGCAGAGGCATGCGTGTCGTCCGTGACCAGGAGTCGCTGCGGGACTCCTTCGAGCGTGCTACCTCGGAGGCCAAGACTGCTTTCGGCAATGGCACCGTCTTTGTAGAACGCTTCCTCGATAAACCAAAGCACATCGAAGTTCAGCTACTTGGAGACAACCACGGCAACGTCGTCCACCTGTACGAGCGTGACTGCAGTGTCCAGCGTCGTCATCAGAAGGTCGTCGAGCTTGCTCCGGCCAAGGATCTCCCCATTGATGTCCGTGACAACATTCTTGCCGACGCCGTCAGGCTCGCCAAACATGTAAACTACCGCAACGCCGGTACCGCGGAGTTCCTGGTCGACCAGCAGAACAGATACTACTTTATCGAAATCAACCCCCGTATCCAGGTCGAGCACACCATCACCGAAGAAATCACAGGCATCGATATCGTCGCTGCCCAGATCCAGATCGCCGCCGGTGCTACCCTAGAACAGCTCGGCCTCACCCAAGACCGCATCTCCATCAGAGGTTTCGCCATCCAATGCCGCATCACCACTGAGGACCCTACGAAGGGCTTCCAGCCAGATACTGGCAAGATCGAGGTCTACCGCTCTGCAGGTGGTAACGGAGTCCGTCTTGATGGCGGTAACGGCTTTGCTGGTGCCATCATCACCCCACATTATGACTCCATGTTGGTCAAATGTACCTGCCATGGTTCCACATACGAAGTCGCACGCCGAAAGATGCTTCGTGCCCTCGTTGAGTTCCGTATCCGTGGCGTCAAGACAAACATTCCCTTCTTGGCTTCGTTGCTAACACACCCTACCTTCATCGACAGCCAGTGCTGGACCACCTTTATTGATGATACCCCAGAACTATTCTCCCTCATTGGCTCTCAGAACCGTGCCCAGAAACTCCTTGCGTACCTTGGTGATGTTGCAGTCAACGGAAGCAGCATCAAGGGCCAGGTTGGCGAGCCCAAGTTCAAGGGCGAAATCTTGAAGCCCATCATGCGTGATGCCGATGGCAAACCAATCGACCTCAGCTCTCCCTGCAAGGAGGGATGGAAGCAAATCATCGATGAAAAGGGCCCCGCTGCCTTTGCAAAGGCTGTTCGTGAGAACAAGGGATGTCTTATCATGGACACCACTTGGCGTGATGCCCATCAGTCCCTGCTGGCAACTAGAGTTCGTACCGTTGACCTCGTCAACATTGGCAAAGAAACCAGTTATGCTTTCAGAAACGCATACAGTTTGGAGTGCTGGGGTGGTGCTACCTTTGATGTCTCCATGAGATTCTTGTACGAAGATCCATGGGACAGACTCAGAAAGATGAGGAAGGTTGTCCCAAACATCCCCTTCCAGATGCTGCTTCGTGGCGCCAACGGCGTTGCTTACTCTTCGTAAGTTTTTCCCTTTATTCTATATGAAAGATTAGTACGCTGATATTATGAACGTCTATTATAGCCTTCCTGACAATGCCATCTACCACTTCTGTAAGCAGGCAAAGAGATATGGTGTTGATATCTTCCGTGTCTTCGATGCCCTTAACGATATCAACCAGCTTGAGGTTGGTATGAAGGCTGTAGCCGCGGCAGGTGGTGTTATTGAAGCTACTATCTGCTACTCGGGAGACATGCTTAACCCCAAGAAGAAGTACAACCTGGACTACTACCTTGACTTGGTCGACAAGATTGTGGCCCTGGGAACTCACATCCTTTGTATCAAGGATATGGCTGGTGTCCTCAAGCCTCAAGCTGCCACCTTGCTTGTCGGAAGCATCAGGAAGAAGTATCCTGATCTCCCCATCCACGTCCACACTCACGACTCAGCCGGTACAGGTGTTGCCTCCATGGTTGCCTGTGCACAGGCGGGTGCTGACGCCGTTGACGCTGCAACTGACAGCATGTCTGGCATGACCTCTCAGCCCAGTGTAGGTGCCATCCTCGCCTCTCTTCAGGGCACCGACCAGGACCCCAAGCTCGACATCCCCAATGTCCGTGCCATCGACACCTACTGGGCCCAACTCCGTCTCCTCTACTCGCCCTTCGAGGCTGGCCTCTCTGGACCCGACCCAGAGGTCTACGAGCACGAAATCCCTGGTGGCCAGCTTACCAACCTCATCTTCCAAGCTCACCAGCTTGGTCTCGGTGCTCAATGGCTTGAGACCAAGAAGGCCTATGAACAAGCCAACGATCTCCTTGGAGACATCGTCAAGGTCACCCCTACCTCCAAGGTTGTCGGTGACCTAGCTCAGTTCATGGTCTCCAACAAGCTAAGCCCAGACGATGTGATTGCTCGCGCCGCTGAGCTTGACTTCCCCGCCTCCGTCCTCGAGTTCCTCGAGGGTCTCATGGGCCAGCCCTATGGCGGATTCCCCGAACCTCTCCGTTCCAGGGCTCTTCGTGATCGTCGAAAGCTTTCGGACCGCCCCGGTCTCCACCTAGAGCCTCTTGATCTAGCTAAGATCAAGGCCGAGATCAAGGAGAAATTCGGCAGCGCTACCGAATGTGATGTTGCTAGTTACGCAATGTACCCCAAGGTCTACCAGGACTACCGCAAATTCGTCGCCAAGTACGGTGACCTTTCTGTCCTGCCGACCAAATACTTCCTTGCCAGGCCTGAGATCGGCGAAGAATTCAGCGTTGAGCTCGAGCAAGGAAAGGTGCTCATCCTGAAACTGCTGGCTGTGGGTCCTCTGTCCGAGCAGACGGGCCAGCGAGAAGTCTTCTATGAGATGAACGGTGAAGTTAGACAGGTCACTGTTGATGACGTTCTTGCTACGGTTGACGACACCAGCCGCCCCAAGGCCGATCCCAGTGACAGCAGCCAGGTTGGTGCACCAATGAGTGGTGTGGTAGTCGAAATCAGAGCCCACGAGGGTGTCGAGGTGAAGAAGGGAGACCCGATTGCTGTTCTTAGTGCTATGAAGATGGTATGTTATTGCTCTTGTCCTCTCACCCCCCTCCCTTGAAATTTACGGATATATATGCTAACTTGCTTATGATTAGGAAATGGTCATCTCTGCACCTCATCACGGAAAGATTGCCAGTCTACATGTCAAGGAGGGAGATTCTGTCGATGGACAGGACCTCATCTGTAAAATGACCAAAGCTTGCTGAATAAAGAAAAAAAAAAAGTCGCGTCCGTCTTCTGATGTATATGATGTTGTTTTATGTCCCTTAGTTATTTTATATGGCACGCACGCCCCATACTGTTCCAGATTACTAGCTCTATAATAGAAGAGCCTTTTTAACAAGCTTCCTCATAATCCGTTTACAGCGAAGCTTAAATCACCATCAATTTGACCAACGAATGATATCGCTATTGTCATGGATGTTTGCTATCAAGCTGTGCCAATCAGAGATGCATCCAAGAATGTGACATCATAACGCCCGTATGCGGCTTGACCTCGCGTGCACAACAAGTCCCTCCTACATCACCAACAAGTACAACACTGCCAGCCAAGTCACATCTCCACGACATATATAGAGTAGACGAAGCTGTATAGCTGGGCTGTCATGCTTGTATCGGTGCTGTGGTTGAATGCAGCCGTGTCATGACCTTGTTGCTACAGTGCAAGCGCCAGCCGTAACACATAGATCATCACAAAGTACCAACCTTCTACCACCATGATACCTCAACTATAGCTTCAGCCTGTCCTGGATCGACCCTCGACCCTGGGACCCAGCCGGGCTTTGCCTTGGTCGATGAGGGGGCGAATAAGTTAAAAAGGAGCAGAAGGCCAGAGGCGATTCCCCCGCCCTTCTTCATCCATTCTACATAGGATGTCTTCGAGATAGTACACTCGTCTGTACGAACACCAGCTATCAGGAGCAATATCGCAAATATATATCAAATAAGATATGAGTGACCGTCCTGAGCGTCCACCGGTATGGGTTAGGGGCGGAACGCCTTACTTCTATCATCCTCGTCGACCATCTGTACCATCTGAGGTTGCGAATGAAGAGTTGCGACGTGTAAGTCCATCCATCACCTCCTACAGCTGAAGTGGAATGCTAAGGTCAAGATACTAGGCGTCAACCACCTCTAGCATCCCGTCTGTTACTGGCATCGTACCAGACCGATCCAGCTCCATCTCATCTACCACCTCCGCCACACAGAACGCTCAGCAAGCAGGTGTAGCATCGAATCTGTTCCCCTTCATGGCCAAAGACCGTTCAGAATCGATGTCGTCTGAGTCCGGAACAGGGCCTGAACGAGACCAGTCAAAGAGAAGAAGCTCGCATTCCGACAGGAGCTATGCTGGGCTAATGACGCAGAAGCGAATGTCCGAAGACCCGCTCTTTGCTAGTAGACGGGAAAGCTGGAGGGAGCAGGCTGCGAATTCTCGACCAGATGATAGGAGATTCCTTAGCCGTTGGTGGGATAAGTAAGTTGCCAATCCATATAGTTAGCCTGTCGGTGTATGGGACTTTGATGACTGATACATGGTTTATAGCTTTGTTAAAGGAGAGCACCAGGCACCTCCCAAGAACAAGTGATAGTTTTTTCTACCCCATCCTTAACTTAAGGTGGATGGTGTAGATATTTGACAAAAGCTGACGCAAATGGCGAGTTTTGGAGAATTTTGTTGAACCCAGTCTGTTTCTTTGCAATGTGGTAAAGTGTTATGCTTTGAGTTGGAAATTGATCAGCAGATTTATGCAAATTTATGTAGTCCATACCTTGGTATATTCTGTCGACTTGCATTTACGAATAATTATAACAACATGATAATCTTACCTTTGACATAGTTGTTGAGAGTTTATATTACTACATGCCTACGAGAAAGGAAAAAAAAAAAAAACAGCTTGACCACTCTAGCATCCAATCGGGAGCATAGTAGCAACCAAGCTAAAGGCCGCCTGGGATGGGGAACGAAGACTCGTCCCTCATCCCAGAAAGGTATGGCTGGACGCCAACATCCCTCTCAGCAATGGTTAAGCGGAACAACACCCTAGGTGAAGCCTCCATTGTGAAACAGGGAAAGAGAGCCGTTTTGAAATGTAAATTTTATTGTTGCTTGTCGTATCATACTTGCTTGTTGAGTCTTAGTTGGAAATATACCCCTAGAACACGCCTGTTATTTTTTACAAGTAAAAAACAACCCATCCCCCACGACTAAACGCAACAAGCAAAGAGGTTTGGTTCGCGAGTAAGCAGGGCGCAAGGAACGGGGATGGAAGGGGAGATTCCTTGTAGCCTGAGAAAAGAGTCCCTTCCGTTGCCTGAAATGAGGCATTATGGAGTAAAGGAGAGGGAAGAGAGGTAAAGGCGGAGAGAGAAACGGGGGAATTTTTGTTTGATTTTGATATGATTGATTTATCGGACAATTCCCTCGAATCTGCTCTTGAACCACTTGATGGTCTCGGTCTGGTTAATACGGTGAGGAGCACCGATCTTGGACTTGCATCGTCGGCGCTTAGCGATACGCTCACCAGGGCGGGTCCTAATTAAATCAGATATAAGTAACCGAGAAACCTGGTATTTGGGTGTTAGATTATAGCACTCACATGCAGCAGTAGAAGTCCATTCCGTAGATACCGATACCAGGGTCATACTTGATGCCCAAGTCGATGTGTTCGTTGATACCGAATCCGAAGTTTCCAGTCTCAGAGAAGTTCTTCTTCCTCAATTCGTATTCCTTGACCTTGAGGCCACGCTCAAGAATCTCCTCAGCCTTGGGGCCACGGACAGTAACGTGGACAGCAATCTTTTCGTTACGTCGGATACCGAAAGTACGGACGGTGTAGCGGGCCTTGCCTATCAAGTGCGCACACTCGCTTGTCAGTTTTTGACTCTTATTTTCCAATTCTCGCTTCACAACGTTGTTTCTTCCATCGATTCAACTCATTCCAGGGAGGTAGCCATACTGTAGACTGGGGTTTGACCGCTCAGCTGTTCCAACACCTTGGCTGCACGAGTAAGTCTGTCACCAGACTCGCCAACGGAGATGTTGAGGACGAGTTTCTGGATGCGGAGTTCCCGCATGGGGTTCGAAGATTTGTCGTTTCCCTCGGCCTGTGCCATGATTAGCGATATGTCACTGAAAACACCGTCGACTGGGCCTCATATCGTACCATTGTGAGTGTTGTTGGTGCTGCTGTGCGTTCTGGCTGCGCGAGAAGAAAGTCGAAGTGGTTGAAAGTCGCAAAAAGTGTTTTTGTGTGCGCGAAAGCGAAAAAAACCCTACGCGGGCTTGGCGTTGGCGCTAAACCAAAACGGTCAAAGAGCGTATCTTCAACGCCAAAAGATCGAAAGTTGCAGCAAAGCAGAAAGACGGCGATAGAACAGTTTGATATTCCTCACGACCAGGCTTCTGGTTACTGCTGTGCTAAAAGAACAGAGACGTTGGAGCTCGGCGAGTTTGTCAAAACCCTCGGGTCTGGTTGAAAGTCGCATTCGTGCGCACCTGAGGCAGCATGGCTTCAAACAAGCAGGGGAAGATGGTGAGTTCATGAGAGCTGGAGCTTGGTTGATTGCAAGATAAGATCGCTGACATGTCTTTTAGCAAAATCTCGTATGATTATCCTTGACGCCCTTTCCGTGATTTGCTATATGCCTGCTTTCAGAGGCCTCCGGCCAAGAGCTGACGCGCATACTAGATCAATTATAGGATGAGGGTCACTTTGACAGATGGGCGACAGATGACAGGCCAAATGCTTGCATTTGACAAAGTAAGCTGGAAGTAAATACCTGGGAGGAGATAGGTGCGCGGTACGAGTGTATACTAACCGTATATCCCAGCATATGAACCTCGTTCTCGCAGATACTGAAGAGTTCCGTCGAGTAAAGAAGAAGTCGGGCAAGGGAGGGCAGGCCGCACCCGGCAGTAGCAGCACTACCCCGTTGGTTGAAGCTGAAGAGAAACGAACACTTGGACTCACCATTGTACGCGGAACACACGTTGTGTCATGTTCAGTCGATGGCCCGCCGCCCGCAGAGCCAGCCGCCAGGCTAGGAACAACTGCTGCCGGTCTTGCGGGTGGCTCTGCTACACTCGCTGCTGGGCCTGGAATCAGTAAACCTGCGGGACGGGGCCTACCCGTTGGACTTGGTGGACCAGCTGCTGGTGTGGGAGGACCGCCACCACCTGCTGGATTTGGCGCATTTCCACCCCCGGCGGGATTCCCCGGCGGACCACCTCCGGGTTTTGGAGGTCGAGGCGGACCTCCCGGAGGACCACGTATGTTTTGTCTCTACCATTGTCCATTATCATTGCTCTGTGTTTACTGACCACCTACATAGCTGGATTTGGACCACCACCAGGTTTCGGGGCTCCTGGAGCTCCTGGCGGGCCTCGTAAGTAAATCAACATTTCTTTCCCCATGTTTTACTTGTATACTGATTATACGTAGCTGGAGGATTCCAACCACCGCCCGGCTTCCAGCCTCCGGGACAAGGACGAGGCTTCCCACCAGGCATGGGTGGACGATGATACCAGCGCTTCTTGGAGTTACGAAACGCAGACTGTTTTGACAATCGAGGGGAAATATTTGATTACATGATTCCCTTGCTCAAAATAAATGATGACAGGCTATTTGTTCCCTTCGTTTTCCTTCGTCTCCTTCTCGCATTTTCCTTTCTCCCATGGCGTTTGGTGGTATCGGTGAAATGGACGGCTAAAGGACCTCCTATTCTTGAGGCAGTAGTTTGAGAAGTTTACTCCTGCTAGTTATATACTGTCAAAGATAATCTACGCGTTTCAATTCTTCTCTGTATGACAGATAGACATCCCATAGCATCATCTCCTTTTGACACTATCTTCCTCTAGGCCTGCTCCCGCGTCGTGATTGCATCACGTGACTGATAGTAACTTACTCCGGAAGTCGGAGCTTTTTCTTTTGGTTGAGCGCAACAACAGTAGTCCAGCAGAGACAAAACATCCAGAGGACCACCAGGTTGCTGCATCCAAGGACACATCTCTGCTCCTTTGCTCCCGACTGCCAGCAAGCGGTCTGTATAGCTCCCAGATCTGCTTGTTTCCTGTCCTCGAAGGTTTCAAGACAACCGCCTCTCACAATGGCCGCCGCCATAAAAGCCATCAACGCAAAGATACGGTCCAACAAGGTGTTGGACTATGTCTGCTCAACACGTACGTTTCTACTGTCTTTTTTTCTACTATTGTTTCCTTGCATGTTTTTGTATCTTGATGATGTTATTGTGGCTCCTCCTCTACCCCATCCGCAGTCTTATTTTTCTTGTCTCAGCTATGGGCTAGATACTAACACGGGGCTACCGCTATAGATTTCTGGGGCCCCGTATCCAACTTCGGTATTCCGGTCGCTGCGGTTATGGACACTCAGAAGGATCCTGAAATGTATGTCAATGGCACATATCCCACTCCATCGTTCGCCCTCTGATACTCGACTTGTCGGCCCTGTCATGTCGAGCGGCTACCTTCGCATCACGCCCATGCATACCAACCCACAACCTTTGCGTATCTAACCCACTCGATTCTCTTGATATAGTATCTCCGCTCAAATGACCGGTGCATTGGTTATCTATTCTGGAACCTTCATGCGTTATTCTCTCGCTGTCACCCCCAAGAACTACCTTCTTTTCGGCTGTCACTTAATCAACTTCGGAGCCCAATTGACTCAGGGATACCGATGGGTGAACTACTGGAAGTACGTTTTAAATCCTGCTTCCTCGTGTTTCCTTTTTCATACTGAACTAACCGTGCGTCTTTTTACATTGTAGATGGGGAGGACGAGAGGCCGCTCTCGCCAACAAGGCAAAGGATGCCGGTGCCGAAGCAGGAAAGGCTGCCGCTGAACCTAGTTCTTCTTCATAGACTCGCTTGGTGGGTTTGTCAATTATTCTCTTTTCTCCCTTTTGTCCTTCATTGGCATATACTTGCTGCGCCGGATTCAATCGGATTGTACGTATTAGGCATACACGGTTTTGTTATCTTTTGTCATCTGTTTTAATAAAGATATTTATTCCTTTTCTTATTCCTTGTTCCGAAATTAGCACGCGGTCAAGGAATGAAGGCAGTGCTTCTACTTTCAAAAAGTGAAGATGAGATTATATGTTCATGTGGATATTGAACAAACCCACGAGTCAAATATATGCCAATTTTGTTTCATGTACAATATGAATAAGTGAACATAGATAGAAAGAGATACAATAAAGAGATCAATGATGATATTGTTAGGCCGCATACAACGGGTATCTATCAAATATTACCCGCATATCTAATTCTCCTGGAAGACCGACCGAAAAATAAGGAACATGAAAATATCAAGCACATCTAAACCAGCGTCTTCTGAGAGCAGCCAAGTCTTAGATGCAAAGAGTCGAAAGAGAAACCGGGGGAGCCAAGATGGCATCAATTTAGCAAAAGGGAAACATGGGTAAGGGTGAGTGTTGGTTAGCGGGTAGCAGATGGAACCTATACCATGAAGTGGTGAAGAATGGTTATGTAGTTCCAGATCTGAGGGAGGCAAGGGCGCAATTTACCAAAATTCCAGAGCCTGAAACAGGTGTCACCGAAATATGATACTCGAAAAGTAGGAAATAAAAAATGACGGTTATGGACAGCGGCGCTTACAAGGTAAAAAAATGCAAAGTACTATTTGTTGCAGAATCCAGGGAGTTTGGCACCACCACCACCATCTCCCCAGTTGGCGATGGCTAGAGCGGTGGTATAAACGCAGCATAGTAGTCCAAAGATGATAAGGCAGATGTCCAGAGTCTTCTGTAGATAGGTGGTTGCGACGCCCTTGTAGTGAAGCAACGGCTAGATATATCAAAGTTAGTTTCAATTCACTTGCGGGCTGGGGAGTAGAACAGATGGGGAAACATACCGGATAGACGAAGACGAGTGGGACACATGCAAAACTACCGATGAGGGAGACAAACTTATCCAAGTCTCCAGCTCCGCCCCAGGCAATGGCGGCGCATACCAAAACAAGGAAGAAACGAAAGATGTTCTTCTTCCATTTGATTCCAGGGTTGTATTTACCGCTACGGGTAAAGAGGCCGTTCTCCAAAATTCTAATCGCAGGGAAGAGCTGGAGTGGAGTGCTCAATAGAATAGCGGCAGCATATAGGAACTGAATTGACCTGACGAAGTTATCCTGCTGTGGAAGATTGAGGATAACAACGGTCTCAGTCTTGGAGCCAAAGGTAGCGTAGCCAACAACTCCCATGGAAAGGAAGATTACAGTAATGATGACCATGACCAGGCCTAGTGCAGCAGGGAACTTGTCGGGACGTTTCATGGATTCCTGGATAGGGATAATGAGGCCAATTCCTTCAAAAGTGAAGATAGCAGTTCCGATAAGCAGGGTATATGACTTGGGGTTGAATGGCTGGATGTCGGCAACGCCCTTTTCCATGATGGTGCTGATTCCAAATCCGTACAGGTAGATCAAACCAAGTAAGATAAACACATCCGCAATTAGGGCTGTGAAGGCAAGTTTTGAAATGTCACGAACAAGGGAGAGAGGTAGGAAGATGATGAGCTGAATCATAATGACGTATTGGATGCTCAAAAACGTCTCACAGTTGCTGACAGACACTATGAAGGCTTGGAGATTTTGCGAGACGAAGACGATATAGGCGGCAACGAAGTCAAGCTGGCTGAGAGCAACGGAGAATAAGATGATTTTCCTCATCTTATCTCCATATAGAATTCCTCCCATATCACCAAAGGAGCCATTGATCTTATTCCGGGTGTTGACAAGAAGGATGAAACAGAAATAGCTTAGGGCTGAAATAGCTACTAGTACGATGGAACTGAATAGCATTCCGCCATTTAAGAAAGCTCTTGGAAGGAAGAGGACACCAGTTCCAACGAACGATTTCAACAAAAGGAGAATGGCGCCCATAGAGGTGTTTGTAGCTTTGGCAGCTCGTTCCTTGGGCACACGGCCTCCAGCGCTTCCTGGACGAAGCAGAGATGTCTCCTCTGAGGGCTCTTCTTCTCCAGGACCAGGCTTCCGTGTAAAGAACTCGCCGGGACCCAAGACTTCGTCATCTTCTTGAAGCTCCTCACCAGCGAAATGACCGAACAGGGTCAAGAACTCCAAAAAGCTGTTGGTTGCTAACTTGGGCTGGGCGAGCGCCTGTTCGGGATCTGCGGGGGCGGTGAGAGTGTTCTGCTCTCCTCCGGTTCGGCGTATGAAGTCTCGGCGGAAGCCACCAGGAACTCTGATTGTGTTGATATCCAAAGTTTCAGTTTCCGGTTCCGGCCTTGCGAGATCGAAGCTCTTTCGTCTCTTGGGGCCTTGCTGTCCTTGAGCCTCTGCTTCAGCCCATCTATAGATTGGTCGAGTGATATCACCACCCTGAAGTTGTAAGCTTGAAAATTCCTCTCCGTCTTTGACTCCGCTTCCGCCTGATTTTGTCGACTCGGCCTTTTTGCCGTTCGTCTCAGCGGAGTCGGCTGACTCGGCTGGTGGTCGTACCAGATGTCGTTTAACGACCTCGGGGTCTTCTATGGGTGCACCGTTGGAGGAAGTAGTATTGGCCCCACTGGAGCCATTATCGTCCTGTAGGGCGCTTGTCAACGCAGATGGACGAGCTGTCTCGAGCGAAGACGGCACAACGGATGACGATTTGAAGTCAGTAGCGATATCAGACGGAGCTGCTTGTCGAGGAGTAGGTACACGCCTCAGCTGCAGGTCTCCTGTGTCTGTGTACGACGACGAAGGGATAGGAGAGGCCAGTCGGGCTGTAGTTATGTGTCTCGGGAGCGATCCTGGTGCCAGGCCCTCTGCCGGAGAGGTGCCGCTGACAGCTCTGCCACGAGGAGACTCTTCACGCAGCGTCGACGCTGCCGGTATATCCTTCCCCTGAGGCATCTCGCTGGGAGTTGTTTCGGTCATCTATCGGGACTGTCTCGCCGGCACACTTCTGTGAAATGGATATAGGTAGACGGGAAGGGCGTATTGTGGTCACACCCGCGGTAATGAAGGTAACAAGAACCTAGTGAAGGCTGAAGGCAACCGATATTCAACTGGCCGGTACCAAACTTGACTTGTAGGACAGAAGTCCGGCCTGGCCAGCTCCAGCAGAGAAGAGATGAGGGATGCTTTTTAAATATGCAGGGCTGTCCGCAGGCTGAGAAACGGTCAGCAGCTTCTGGGTGTCAGCTACGAAGTCGGCGTGACGGTGACGATTGAGGTTCGAGCGGGAAGAAGTTGCTTGTTCAAAAATAAGCAGCGCGCTGATTGGCCCAGCGAGTCAATGACGCATTGCTTATATCATTAGCTGTCCCGAAGCGGTTAGCGCATGCATTTTTGACGCGAGAATAGGGTCATGTGATGGTTTTAGTGCCCTCAATGCGCTTAATAATAGGGTTTGTTCCTGGTCGAAAGCTTGTCTCAGCTTGGTCACGTGATATGACGCCTCCCAAGGTTCTGAAAGTTGGGATATTCGACGTCAGCGCCAACTTCGGCGACGTCAACATCAACCTCGCTTCAAGTGGCTGACCAGCGTGTTTAGACGTTGGAGCAGTAGGATTCCACGCGAGAGGGCCGACGCCGCGCTTTTAAATACTTACAACCCGCACACTCAGCAGGGACATGCTTCGTTAGTCTGCTCGTCTAAGCGTCCGACAGGGGTGCTGCTGGCTGCTGCATAAAGACCTTGCCGGGTTTCCTAGTTGCAGACAGATATCTTCATCAACCATGAATCGCCCACTAAATGGCTCTGCCAATGACGAGAATACCACGCAGGAAACAGGACATGGAATCAGCTGGTTAGAATACTCCCCATAGAGCTGCAGAGATAAACAAACCCGTCTCTAATCTGCTCTCTAGGAGCTTACCCGTACTCGGTAACGCGAGAAGAACAAGCAATGAAGATCACCATGGAGTTGTTCGACACAGGAGTCGAAGCGTCTCTCGTCTTCAGAGGACTTCGTTAGCTGGGCCACTACCTGCCAAGCTTGGCTTCCCAGATGAAAGGGAAAAGTTGGCCCAGGATGAGGGGGATGGGGCCCAAAAGCTGGGGTCCTTCTCAGGCGTTTTTGTCCCGACGACTCTCAACGTTCTGAGCATTCTCATGTTCCTTCGCTTCGGCTTTCTTCTAG